AATGTACAGGGAAAGTTGATTCCAGTGGAGGGCTGCAAAGACCGAGGACCGGGATTGGGCACAGGGAGGAGGGGCAGAGCGTAGATTGGGAATGAAGAGGATGAGAGGATGCAAGATAATTAACATCAGCACCATCGGATCTTTAAGCCAGGTGCCATCTCGTAGAGGTCCAAGGGCTGTTTTTAACGCTTTCCAACTGAGGTTGAAGCGCCGTTTATGCATTATTCAGCTCGTGCGTTGCTCCAGAATGTGAGGGGACTTTAAATTATTGTGAAGATAACCCTATATTTATGAAATTAGAGTATAGAGTTTTGTTGCTTTTAAGGACCTCACCATTTTGAAAGGGTTGCCCAAAACTGGGAGACACCAAACATAGCAAAAAGGACTCTAAACATGCCAATGTCGTACTCTGATAGCTACCCGTCGGCTTAGGCAGTCGTACGTGGAAAAGCCTTTGCTTATACAACCGAGTAAGAAATTCACACACGTATTGTAAACACTCGAAAGTTAACATTCGGCATTCAACACAAGATATGCAACAACAATAACACAGCAGTGTCAAGTAAAGACAGAACCTAACACATCCCCGCAGGACAGCATTCGTATCTGTGCCGTGGCGTTTAACGTCTCCATGCCTTGCTCCGCTGTGCAGAGTCGCTGGCGAACACTCCATCCTCTTCCACCCTCTCGTTTCCACACAGCATCTGGCACGAGTGGGAGATCGTTAACAACACCTTCATCGCTATGGTGATGAAAAATGGTGACAACTGTGGCTCCAACAGCCGGCAGGCCAAGGTGAGGGATCGGCTGTCTAGCGCCCGCTGCCTCTGCTCGCTGCACCGCTGAGCCGTGTGTGTGTGTGCTGCACCGTGTGTGTGTGTGTGCTGCACCGTGTGTGTGTGTGCTGCACCGTGTGTGTGTGTGCTGCACCGCTGACCCGCGTGTGTGTGTGCGCTGCACCGCTGAGCCATGTGTGTGCTGCACCGCTGAGCCATGTGTGCGCTGCGCCAGTGGAGCTGTTGTGTAGCGGTTAGCGCGCTGCGCTTCAAACCCGGTAATCCGACTTCGATTCTTGCCCACGGCCAGTCCTGAGCCTCCCCTAGGTTGACTCGGCCTTAAATGAGTACCTAGTGGTGTGTGAACAGCGCCACTGGTGAGACAAAGGTGGTCGAGCGTGGTACTGGCCACCCACCCCCTCGCGTGCCGTGCCGGCCTTCATAGGTGCTCGCTAACAGCACTTGCCCCAACAGTCTGTTAAGGCTACACGGGGGATCTTTGTGCGCACGCACCACAGGTGACCTTCAAGTGCGGGACTCAGAATGCGCTGCTGGGCGTGGAGGAGCCACGCACCTGCGAGTACGCAGTCAACTTCACCACGCCGCACGTGTGCCACCCGCACAGCATGCTGGGTGAGGTGGCGCGCTCGCTCTCGACGGCAATCGATTGATCCATCAGTCGATCGCTGCTGCCATCCTTTTAAGTCTTTGTCGATGGAGACGTCGCTGAAAATGAAGCCTTCAAAACACCAATGCCGAAGGAGATGTTTATTGTGGACGTCCGCACTGCTGCTCCATTCCGTTCGCCAGCGGATCTGGGCGAGGTTATAGGATGAAGGCAGCAGCACGATCCCAGGGAGTTACTCTTGAGATGTGGCATCTGAATTGTTTTAATAATCTGATCACTTTCAGCAGCTTTGTTGTTCGGTCTTGGTTTGGCATTCAATGCTCTGTTAATCTGAGTGTTATTGTAGCCATTCGGTCGTAGTGCTTCTTTAACATGTTTAATCTCGCTCACTAGACTTTCACCATCTGACACTGTTTTTCCCCCAGTGTATGAGCGGCTTGATGAGAGAGGATTTCTGTACTGGGTGATGGTGCAAATCTGCATTCAGATAGGCATCAGTGTGCATTCCCTTTCGGTAAACGCTGTCTGTTAATTTACCATTTAGGCTGCGTCCAAGCATAATGTCTAGGAAGGGGAGTGTGTTGTTCACCTCCATTTCCGCGATTGCAGTGTACCCCACGCTGCCCCAGTCGCTGCGAGAGGAGTGGGATAGGATCGAGCAAGATTTGTACGACGAGATCATCACCCAGCAGGTGACGCCCCCTCTCCGTTGTGTTTGTTGTTGCTGCTCTCGTTCGCGGCCTGTGGCTTCCCACTGCAGGGAATGTGTCTATGATGGACAACTTATTTCGCACCATACGTAGCCAACCGTGCTAATCGGAGGTGTGGGGGGTAAGGACAACAAACTAAAAACATAAAGCAGTTCTAAAGAAATCAGTTTTAAATCTAGATGATTTAAAAGTGCATAGCTCCACCAGCTTCCTAATATGGGAGGAAAGCACGTTCCAGATGGCTGCAGAAGCGCATCTGGAAGCGCCACGCGATGCGGTGAGAGTCCCCCGGCTGTCTCCTCGCCGTCTCCCTCCGCTTCTGCTCCCTCCCGGTCTCACCCGCCAACCCCGGTGACCAACCGTGGTGAAGTATGGTCAAATGAACCCCACAACCCACACGGCCTGGTGAACCTCAATGACAGCAGTGGTTTGACAAGGGGGCTATACCAAAAATAAAAAATAAACCTTTATTTTAACAGGTCAGGCCCACTGATTTATATACCAGTTTTTAAGAAGCTACCTGGACACAAATTATATCTAAATTAAGTGGCTTATCGTGTGGAAATGTAAAGCAGCCAAATACTCTCAACGCACACGTGGATTCTAAATGTGGAGGTAAAAACCAGAGCACCCGGAGAAAAAGTCACGTGACCATGGGGAGAACGTGCAAACTCCAAGTCAGGGTTGGGATGAAGCCCACGACCTGTAAACCAGGCGAGGTAGTTAACATCTCGCTCCACATACGCTGTATAAGTGGGGCTCCACGTACACCTTGCACGTGCACACACCTTGCACGTGCACACACCTTGCACGTGCACACACCTTGCACGTGCACACACCTTGCACGTGCACACACCTTGCACGTGCACACACCTTGCACGTGCACACACCTTGCACGTGCACACACCTTGCACGTGCACACACCTTGCACGTGCACACACCTTGCACGTGCACACACCTTGCACGTGCACACACCTTGCACGTGCACACACCTTGCACGTGCACACACCTTGCACGTGCACACACCTTGCACGTGCACACACCTTGCACGTGCACACACGAGCTTCCAGTTGTCGCGCAGTGCAAGGTGGCTGCCAATGTCACGTGCGTCTCTCCCCGTGAACGTCACCGGCAGGGCTACGAAAAGCAACTGCGGGCGGCGATCTTCAGGAAGAGCGGCTACGTACTGTCGGCAGACGCCGACGCCACGACCGCAGACGGTCCGGAGGATCAGGAAAGAGTCTTTAACACGTTGGACTCGTGCAATGAGGTACGGCACCAACAGAAGGGCCATTGGCACAGGAGGGAGTGCTGGTCTGCACACCGGGCTCCTAAGCCTGCCCACTGCCTCTGCATTTACTGGCTCAGTGCGTTGCCCTGGTTGTTTTGCAACCTGAAAGGATGCGTTCGTCCGCGTTCGTCCGCGCACGCCAAGTTAAAGTGCGGGCGTCGATTCAGTCGAAGCGCGTTTTTCCGCAGGAGTACCGCACGCTGCAGGACGAGGTGAGGAGGCTGAAGGCTCTGCTGCAGCAGCATGGCATCTCGCCCAACCATACAGGTGAGCCTACCTGCGACGGTCGCAGCCGGTGTCCGTGGCACCGTCAGTGTCCGTGGCACCGTCAGTGTCCGTGGCACCGTCAGTGTCCGTGACGGGGTTGTGCTAAGATTGGGCACCGTCGTGGTGGCGAGACGTTAACTCCCTCGCCTGGTATGCAGGAGGTTCATGGGTTCGATTCCTGTCGTGTTGTTGTGTGGTTGTTGGAGCAGCGATCGTGGGGAGCGATATCTGAATCAGTTCCGGCACCCCTTCATTCAAGTGCACCGACCAGCATGAAGTATGATCAATCCGCATGACTCAAGGGTGTTTGGGAGGCCGTCATCCAATAGTGGATCGACAGAATCCTGCACAACTTTGATGCCTCAAGGCTCATTTCCTGTCATGAGCAGGCTTTTGCCACTGCACAGCTCCCCAGCTTTGGAACTCTTTGCTAATAAGACAGTTGGGATCATTAGATATGTTTAAGTCTTGAAAACTCACCTCTTTAAACTGGCTGTTTACCCAGCAGGCTCCATTTACTTCCTGGCTTTCCATACACGCGGATGCAATGGTGGGATCTACAGATGAAATCCGCCACGCTACAAATGTAAATTATTATATTATTAAACACGTGCTGAGGAATCTATTAATTGTGCTGCCGAGAACACCTGTGACTTCCTTGTGCAGTTTCCCTTGTGCGACGTCTGCCCAAGCGTCCACGTTCGCAATGCCATGCGATGCCACGCGAAGCTTCACCACCGAACGCGCTTCTCGTGCCCGTGGTGGCGCCGTCTTCTCTCCGTGTGTTTCAGCAACGACGGCGCCGCCAGCCTCCCGGGCAGAGCATCGCCCGGCGGGGGGCGGGCTGCTGCCGGCCACCTCCAACGGGGCTCCGAGAGGTCTGCCGCAACTCAAGGGAGACGTGGGGGAACGCTGACCCCTCCAGGCCGACCCCCGCGCAGCCTTGGACACGAAGCCTCAAACTCACGCGAGTTCAGAGCAGCAGAGCTGTGGGGACCCTTGGGGAGATAAAGTTGCCAAATCCAGCAAAAATTTAATTGGGCTCCTTTTCTTTGTCTTACATTGTGTAAACGAAGTGTGTGCAATACGGCATCGGTGCAAGAAAAACTCCATTATATCATTTGTATATTTAAATAATTGTCTTTTACCTGTTGAATAAACCGTAATGCTGCTCCCACCGTGTACAGTAAGTCCTCGATTAATGCGGTAGACGAGTTCCTGAAAAGTGCCGCGTTCGGTGAATTTTTTTTCCCACGCAAGGCGTCAGGCAGTTCCCGACAGAAAATAACCCAAATCCTAAATACAGCCGAAACGACGCCACCGCTGGGTTTTATCTTTATCTGAAGTTTATTAAATGTCTTGAAAATTACAGAAGATAATAAAAAAAGATAAGACCTAAATTCAGCTACAAAAATAATCTTGGCTGTAAACAGTTTGCCCCCGGGTGCTTTGTTCGTGGCGCTGGGGGCTCCGGCGATAAGCGTTACAACATGGAGCGGGGAAACAACACGGCCGCAATTTACAACAAAACCACAAAAGCCTTGCCGGGCAGCTGGCCTCGGACTGTAAACAAAATGAAGAGGCGTTAACCGCAAACTTCTCCAAGGACGTTAAAAACCTTCACGAGGTGGGGCGGGGCAGCTGCTACAAACTAAATCCAAAACTTTCTACCCAGCTCTCTGTGACACTAACTCCCCCACGCGCCGTATGAGAGAGTGAAACACTACTTGTTTAATAGCGATAATAATTTAAAATATGTACCCATGAAACTCCCATTTATTGTCTTAAATAGTTTTAAAAGTATGTGGGATGTTTTGTGCCCAATTCTTAAGAGTTTTTTTCGTGGCGCTTTACGCGGGGAAAACTAGTACGTAACGTGAGAACCTCGTGTGTGTTTAGGAGAACACCGAATAGATCCAGCCAACCTACTTGCTCTACTGCTCCCCTACAGAAACCACGTTTTTCCAGCAGGTGCTCTTGGCAAGCTGAGCATGGCCTTCTCGTTGGAGCAGACAATTCAGGATTCGTCCCTGCTGGATCCACCCACCCCACACTTCCACGTTCACCATTGTGCCACCCCAACCGATCACACAAATCCATTAACATGTTTGCACCGCCACCTTTTTTTTGCACCAAGGGGAAATAAATGCTTTTCACGCTAAGCACGACCATTTACATACGGGCAGTGTGAAACGCATCGCGAAGAGTATATTTTTCCAATATTAAAAGGCGAATTTTACATTTCTGCGTCGTAATACATTTTTTACAATTAAAAGACTTTGGCCACGAATCGGTAAGAAATCCGTTGGACCCCGGCTGTTCCCCACGCCGGCGATGGCACGCGGCGGCGGTGGAGGTTGCACACCGCACTTGCCGCACAACGCTCGCGGTGAAATGCGCCGCCTGGAGCCACTCACCGCGCTGTGGTCTCCATGGAACACGCCGCATGGAGAACGCCACAGCGTCAACGCTCGCAGACCCTCCACAACGCTGCATGGGGTAAATGAGGTGTAAACCCCACCTGAAAGAAGCTGTTTTTGTGACGATTTAATACTTAAATCGCTGGACTTTAACTTTTTAAAAAAATTAATGCTTTACCGTATTCTCCGGATGAATGGACACTGGAAAGTAATAAACTTGTGCCCGGTGCAAATAAAGTTACACGAATCTGGTTGCGTGCACACTGGAGTATGAAACGTACCCCCCCCGCCCCACCTTTGCTTTACAGTCAAGGAGAGAGGGAGCAAGTATACAACCTGCAAAATACGGTCGTCCAATGATATAACTGAGTGGCTGGGTAGCTTAACAGTCGGTACACTCTACATTGCATGGAGTATTAAGGTTCAATTCCTGTTTCGGCCACGCTGCCCTGCTGGAGGCCGCTAGTACCGAGCGTCGCGAGAGGCGAATGATCCCGAGAACAGCTCCGCCGCGACGAGCCGCGTGCCAACCTCGCACCACGACATCGCCGGCGTGAGGACGCCCACGTGCCGAGAGGGAATCGCCAAAACAACCGACGCCGGTGCTGCTTCTCATGAATCGTCCACTTCACTACTTTTAGAGGACACGGAAACGTTACCCCTTGACGTCTTAAGAAAGCCACACCGAATCTTCACGATTGCTTTGTACAAGTCCTGCTGCTGCTGCTGCTTGGGGACGTCTGGACTGCAGCTTTTTAAACATTCTTTTTGCGGAAGCAAATTTCTGTTTCTGGAGTAAACACCAGAAACGAGAAAGGAGACTTCCGTGACGTGCAGCGCAGATCGCCGGTCTCGAGAGGCCGCTCTCCCTCACCGTCTCTCGCCCGTCTGCAGTGTCTCTCGCCAAAACCCCCCTCGCCTGCGGGCACAGCGCTCGAGAAGGCCGTGTGCATTGGAACGAGTCGTACGTGCGGCGGACGGCAGTGCAATTGCGTTGCCGGGATGGTAACGTGCGCAGCAACAGGACGATGGCATCTCAATCTGAGCTGTGCGCGCGGACATGACGGACATGACGGCAAAACTCGGCACGGCGGCCAGCGCGCTGCAACGAGCGATTCCCAGCCCCGTAGCATCGGTGGTGGGGAGGGGCCAGAGGGGGGGCCGAACCCCACCCCCGCTCCTAAATTCTTGAAGTCAATAAAAAATATATAGGAACCATACAGCGGCGATCCCCACACACGGGCTGCTGGAGCGGACACCGCGCGAGAGACACGGATCGCATTCCTTCACTCCGTTTGGCGTTCAAAGTTTGTCGGAACATCGACCGCGTCGTGTCCCCCCTGAGTGATTGTATGCCCACCCCCCACCCCACCCCTTTAAACGCGGTCACACTCCGGGGCCGACGGAGACGGACGCAAGTCGGCGTGGACCGAGGCACTTCCAGGGGCTCGGTGGCCATCGCGTGCGTGCCGAGCGACGCGATCACCGGAGGACGTTCCGGACGCTCCGGCCCCAAACGTCGAGTGTCAAAAACACGACCCCTCGGCCGTGCTGGCAACAGGTCACCGCGCTACGGAGAGAGCCGCGCGCCGTACTCAGAAATGGCTCTCGACCATCCGAGCAAACGGAGCGTTGCACACCTTTAAAACCCCTGAAACGTGGACTTGGCAGGAAATAAGTCACAGCTGTTAAAATAAGCCAGGGTAAAAGCCGGCACACGTTTTGCCCCGGCTATGGATTCATCGTTGCTCCTTTTATAAACGCTTCACATTATTATCGTATTGCATAGTACTTAGCAGAAAGATTACGTTATAACACGCGTACATGTCCAGCATTAGATTCGATGGCGCAAATTAAGGTGGCCCATTTTCTAAATCTCAATTTTTATCCTCAATTCCAGAGTCTTGAACAAAGTCGAATTGCCTTGTCAAGATACTAGTGGTTGTGGAACAAGTTCCCAAGACATCAAATCCAGTTCACATTTCCAAGTCGGCCAATCCTCCCCCATGTGAAACGCAAGCCAGGAGCAGCAAAGCATATGGGCCTCACCAATGGATACATGAATCCAGATTGAATCTGCCTCGTGAGGCCTGCAGAGAATAGATGATGAAACCCAAACAGCCAATCCCCTCCCCTCACCACCACCACTCTGCACTGTTCACGTGTCTATGGTTACCAGCCTCCTCCCCATCTGTGCATGCACGTGAGGCAATCGTGGACTTGTGTACTGGTAAACATCACGCGAATGGATCGTAGAGATCGTAAACAACTAGGGTTTGTAAATTCCCAATCAAAGTTTGCCATAAAATTCGGTCCACCATGACAAACCAACGTGCAGTTCTACCGACAGGGAAGTGAATCCCTGCTTCGTTTTGCTTCGGTATGAACGCGATGTTTGTGCACGCGCTCATTCCGTGCCAACGGCTTTTTGCTTTTAGTTTGTGCCCACTCCGCACCTCCGATGAGAACGGTTGGCTATGTAGGGTGTGAAAGAAGTTCAACGTACGTATGCACAGTTTCCCCTTTTGTGAGCCGACGCAGCTAAGTGTCCTGTCCAGCTTGGAAACCCTCTTCCAAATCTGTCGCGTCTTTTTCACATTGAGGCCCGGGGCTCAATACCAGTAACCGCGTTGGGGTTGGACGTCGACGTCTTCAAGGAAGTCGGAGCGGGAGGGAGGAACCGTGGGGCGGGTGGCCCAGGCGGGCGGCTCCCGTCGTGAGCGCTCAACCTGACACGCCGGACACGGGGGGGGGGGGGGGGGGGGGACACGTTGTACTGAAGGAAGAAGTTTTGGGACCGACAAAGCGGATGAATAATTTATAAAGAAAAGTCAGAGTCTCCGTGTTCTACGACTACAACTAGTCTCTTTAATTATACCAGGTGAGGCCAACTGAGCTATACAGTAGCTCTTTTTCAGAAGCGACTTGGCTATCACAAATGATAGCTCAACAAAGTGGCTGATCACCGTGTGAAAATTTATAGCGGCAGACAAATACTCTGAGCGCATGACGTTGATTCTAAATGTGGAGGGGAAAACTGGAGGACCCGGAGAAAAATCCACACGACCACTCCACGTGTACAGCAGGTGACAGGGAGGGGTTTGGAACCCACGACCTCCTGACCACCAGGTGAGGAAGTGAACATTTTGCCACCGTGGCTCAAATGAGTATGGAGCGGCGCTCAACTCCACCAGCAGCTCTTAGGCAGCGGTGGAAATTCCACATTCTCATTGCAGGGGCCAGTGCGCTCTCCACGAGGCAGCTGCCATTGACTTCCCACGAAGTGGTACAGATTTTATCGGCCTCAAGAAGACTGATAGGGTAACGGAATCCACAGACGCAGACTTGAACTTCAGTCGGCAGGCATGGCCTGCAACGCAAGGTCGTTCCGTCTGCATTATTTGACGTAAAAAATTGTTCCTGCCCAGCATCTTGAGATGCTAATTGTTTTAAGAGGCTTTTTATACAAATTCTGATTGTTGTTATTATTGTTGTTGCTGTTGAGCGTGTCATTGGTGAGGAGAGTGCCATCTTGTTACCAGGTTAACATGCTGCATGCAGAGCTGTGCAAGCATTTGGCCCTCATATGCAATTAATGTACAGAGTTGCGCGATGCACTTGGCATGAACGACGCGATACACAACGCCGCCGTTACGATTGTTACTGCTGCTGGCATTGCGGGGCTCACAGGCGCCACGGACGGCCGTGGCAGAGGCAGCGGCGTCCTCCTCGGCGATCCTCCGCAGGTTCCTCTCCGCCTCGTCCGCCGTCCTGCACGCAGCAGAGACATACAACCGCCCTGCTCAGCCGTAAACAACAAAAACTACCGCGGCGATTGCTGTCAGGGGAGCACTGTTTGTGGGACGCCACGGTGGCGAGATGTTATCGCCCTCGCCTGGTATGCAGGAGGTCGTGGGTTCGATCCCCGACCCTGATGATGCCTGATCTGTATTTGGAGTTTGCACGTCTTTCTTTCTCTCTCCGTGGTAGCGTGGATTTTTCTCCGGGTCCTCCGTTTTTCCCCCTCCACATTTAGAATCGAAGTGTGTTTTTAAGAGTTTCCGGCTGCTGCTATACATTTCCACGTGATAAGCCACTTTGCTGAGGAATCTTTCGTGGCCAGGTTGCTTATGAAAAAGAGCTATATGGCTCAGTGGACCTTACCTAGTAAATACAAAAGATATATAGTTTCGACGGAGATGACTGACAGATGCAAAAACTGTGCTCCCACTCCCAACGTTTTAGTCGCCCGGCTCTCCGCTCATTATTGCGAGCGTCGCTCCTCCGCCCTCCGTTGTTGCTGGAGGGCGACCGCCTCCAACTGCCCAGTAGTAGCATCCTTCACGAACCTCCCCCAGAGGCCGTACTAAAACACAACAACAACAACAACCGCCATTCGCCACTAAGTGGCGGTGACGTCACCACGATGCTTGTGCCAGGCCAAGTGCACACCCATGCTCACACACATTCACACTCGCCACACATCTTGAGGAACCCCAATCGGGGTTTTTGACAGGAAGGGACCCCTTTCAAGCAGACGGAAGAAGCAGGATGGAAAATAAGAATGGAAGCTGGAGAGTAGTCGGGCGTAACGAAGGGTTGAACGATCAATGGAATTCAGACTGCAGTGAGGGTCCAAAAGAACCAGAATGGAGAGAACGGCGGCGAGAAGAGAATGACGTCACGACCACACCCAGCCGGCCTGCTCCAGTGGAGCACGTCCCTGCTGGGAGCCAGACCTACTGGGTCACGGGGTCATACAGAGCATGCTGATAGCAGAGCGAGGGAGAAAATGACCTCTGCAAGAACATTTTCCAAGGGAAGGAGTAAGGCCCAGTTGTGTCCAGGGGAACGGCGCTTGACGCCGAGCGACGTCGGGAGGGACGCAAGGCACTCACGCCAGGTAGTCCTTGACCTCCTCCATGGTGATGTCGGCTGTCAGCTCCATGGAGCCCAGCGACGTCTCCAGGAAACTCTCGGCCAGCGTCTGTTGGATCTCCTCCAGGACGCCTGCAGTGTGCGGGGGGGGGTCATGGGGAGCATGAGCAGGGACGGAGCCACGGAGCCACGGAGCCACGGAGCCACGGAGCCAGGGTCTTATTTAGGCATAAGCTAAGCAAGCTACAGCTTAGGGCCTCAAATTGGGGCACCGCGATGGTGAGATGTTATCTCCCTCGCCTGGTATGCAGGAGGTCTTGCGTTTGATCCCGACCATGACGCCTGCTGCTGTATATTTGGAGTTTGCATATCTCTCACTCTCCCCGTGGTCGAGTGGATTTTTCTCTGCGACCTCCGGTTTTCTCCTCCACATTTAGAATCAATGTGCGTTCAGAATATTTGGCTGCTGCAACTTTCCACATGATGATAAGCCACTTTGTACCGCTATCAATTGTGGCCAGGTCGCTTCTGAAAAAGAGCTATGTAGCTCAGTGGCCCTTACCGGCTAAAATAAAGTCGTTAAAACATTTTTCTTTTAAAAATCCTTTATATTAAGTTCGCTTGCTTGCTTAGGACCGTGCAAATCTTTTGGTCGTTTTTTAACCCACTTCCCGTGATCCAATCGAGCTGACATTTTGCACACAGACTCGTTGTGCGTGACAATGCATTTTCGTGAAACATTTTTCCAAAATTTTACACTGTTTAGGGAAAAAAAAATAATTACCAATTGTTTAATGCTGCCAGACAATCATCTGACCCATAGGTGGCAGCCATCTCAAGCCAGAGGACGAGAGGACTCTAGCCGCCCCGATGCCACGCATATAAAAGATTTATAGTGAAAAACTTTTTTTTACGGGTTTACTTGTTTACAATGAGGTGGCCTCTAATTGCGAAAAAACAATAACATGTGACAGGAAAAAAACCTCTCGAATCTGCATTACTCCTCCTGCTGCAACTACGCCTCTATCACTACCCCAACCCCTGCCACTACCCCGGTCACTACCCCTGTCACTACCCCTGTCACTACCCCGGTCACTACCCCAACCCCGGTCACTACCCCAACCCCGGTCACTACCCCAACCCCTGTCACTACCCCAACCCCGGTCACTACCCCAACCCCGGTCACTACCCTAACCCCTGTCACTACCCCGGTCACTACCCCTGTCACTACCACAACCCCTGCCACTACCACTACCCCTGTCACTACCCCAACCACTATCACTACCCCAACCCCTGCCACTACCCCAGTCACTACCCCTGTCACTACTCCAACCCCTGCCACTACCCCAACCCCTATCACTACCCCAACCCCTATCACTACCCCAACCCCTGTCACTACCCCAACCCCTATCACTACCCCAACCCCTGTCACTACCCCAACCCCTCCTTAACCTCACCGCCTGTTCTCCTGTCAGCATAACACCACCGCTCTTAATAACCCTACTCTTTACTATTTCGACCAATATCATCTTACATATAGTACAATTGTTGTAAAGTGCCTTGGATTAAGGCACTGCTGCTCCATAAATCCACGTAAGATAATAACCCCACAACAACAACAGGCCGTCACGCGTCGCGGTAGGAGAGCAGTGCATGTGGGGGGGGGGGGGGGGGGCACAAGGCCGGGACGCCGAGCCACGTCAGCTACAAACGTGCAAGGAGGTTTATATTAAAAACCGTTTATGGAAGGGGGAAACGTTTTATAGCGCAACTGACGTGAAATTATTATTGCCATATGTGGGAATGACTGCCTCGGATGTGCCGGGAAGGAATGTTGGCAGCGATCTGCCGGGACACCCACACACACATCACTCTGCCAAGACACCCACACACACACACATCACACCGCCAAGACACCCACACACACATCATACTGCCAAGACACCCACACACACATCACTCTGCCAGGACACACACACACACATCACACCGCCAAGACACCCACACACTCATCACACCGCCAAGACACCCACACACACATCACACCGCCAAGACACCCACACACTCATCACACCGCCAAAACACCCACACACACATCACACTGCCAAGACACACACACACACATTATACTGCCAGGACACACACACACACACATCACACTGCCAAGACACCCACACACACATCACTCTGCCAGGACACACACACACACATCACACCGCCAAGACACCCACACACTCATCACACCGCCAAGACACCCACACACACACCACACTGCCAAGACACCCACACACACATCACACTGCCAAGACACACACACACACATTATACTGCCAGGACACACACACACACATCACACTGCCAAGACACCCACACACACATCACTCTGCCAGGACACACACACACACATCACACTGCCAAGACACCCACACACACATCACTCTGCCAAGACACACACACAAACATCACTCTGCCAAGACACACACACACACATCACTCTGCCAAGACACCCACACACATCACACTGCCAAGACACACACACACACATCACACTGCCAAGACACCCACACACACATCACTCTGCCAAGACACACACACACACACATCACTCTGCCAAGACACACACACACACACATCATTCTGCCAAGACACCCACACACACACATCACACTGCCAAGACACACACACACACATCACACTGCCAAGACACCCACACACACACACACTGCCAAGACACACACACACACATCACACTGCCAAGACACCCACACACATCACACTGCCAAGACACACACACACACCACACTGCCAGGACACACACACATCACACTGCCAAGACACACACACACATCACACTGCCAGGACACCCACGGACACATCGCCACGCAAAGACAAAGGAACGCTGCATGGTCTTGACAAAAACTGCTGGGGCAAGTGCTGCTCGCGAGGAGCTATTAAGGAATGGAAATTTCCAGATCCGGAGTCAGGACACACGCCAAGAGCAGAGTTCAAGCAAAGCTCATGAACACAAAAAGCACAAAGTAGCTCAAGCGGCAAGGGGACGTGCGGTGGAACGTCGCCCACCTTGAGCCTCGGTCAGCGAGTCCGCCCGCTCCCTCTCCTTCCTCTGCCCGTTGGCCATCGTGGGGACGGTCACGGGGCTGTCATCCACCACCCTGATTGCAATGTGCACACAAACACCAGGGACGCCAATCAGCTTTAGAGCCTATTGGGGAAAGTGCTGCGAGATGGCATGGGCAGTGTGGGTTTAAGAATAGGTAAGTGGGGCCTGGGTTAGGGATAGGGGTGTGGTGGGGCTGGGGTAGGGATAGGGGTGTGGTGGGAGTGGGGCTGGGGTAGGGATAGGGGTGTAGTGGGGGTGGGGCTGGGGTAGGGGTGTAGTGGGTTGGGGAGTCGCTGTGGTCTACGTGGGGGAGGCTGCGCTACCCGGGTGCTTGTGGACGGGGGGAGAAGTCTTTCTCGTACGGCGCCACCTCCACCCGGCAGCGCGGCTCGACAGAGCGCGAGGCGAGCACAGAGAAGCACTGGAACTCCGAGGGCGACTGAAGGTAGAGGCCTGCAGGACGCATAAGTAACGGCAACAATGCCACCATTCGCCGACAAACTCGCCAAGGCGCTCGTGCCAGGATGGGTGCGCTTTTGAGGCTATCGAGTGAAGTGTCGAAGGGCCACTGCACATACAAGATAAAGATCCCCCATACAGCCTTAACAGACTGTTGGGGCAAGTGCTGTTAGCGAGTCAGCACCTATGAAAGCTGGCACGGCACACGAGGGGGTGGTGGGTGGCCAGCACCACGCCCGGCCGCCTTTGTCTCACCAGTGGCGACATTTACGCATCGCACCAGATCAGAGTCGGGATCGAACCCACGACCTCCCGCGCACCAGGCAAGGTAGACGACATCCCGCCAACGCGTCGGGGTCCCCGCGCAGCAGAGCGACGCGGCCCCGTGGGCCTACCCTGAGCCGTGGCGGTGAAGAGGCACGAGGAGACGGCGGAGATGTCCTCCTTGCGGACGCAGGCGTGGCGCGACAGCGGCCGCAGCCCCGGCACGGAGACGGTGTGCACGTCGCCCAGGTTGGTGAGGCACAGCAGCAGGCTGCGGCCGTGCCACTCGTCCCGCTGACCCCCCGCCGCCCCCCCTCCGGCCGCTCCGGCGGCCTCTCCCGACGCCGCGCCGTGCGGGCCCTGGGGACCGGGCGGCCCCCACGCGTCGCACAGCGCCACCTTGCGCACGCGCGCCCCCTCGTGCGCCGTCAGCTTGAACTTGGTCTTGGCCGTCACCTTGGGCAGCGAGAACACCTGCGGGGGACAGTCGGGCCGGCGCCTCGGTGAGCCCGCGCTGGCGCGACCCACGCGGTGACCGCCGAACCTCCCCCCCCCCCCCCCCATTGCGGTGGTGGCACGGGTGAAGGCGGGCACAGCGTTCCAACACCCCAGAGGGCTACATCTGGGCCCCTACCGCACGGCGTTCCCGCACCTCCGATTAGCACGGTTGGCTACGTACGCCGCGAAAGAAGATCAACGCGCACGCACAGAGACGTTGGCTATAGAATGGTGAATGCGCGCTCCCCCTCCCCGTGTACGCGAACCCGGGAGCTGGGCACGAATGAAAGCGGCGCCACGGCGGCGAGGAGGATGAGGGTTGTGGGTCGTGGGTCATGGGTCGTGGGTCGGCGTCGGCACGAGGCGTTCGCGAACCGCGCTGCAGGCGAGCGGCACCCAGCAAGCAGCTCAAGGGAAGTGCAGATCAATTAACGGTAGGGATGCGTCAAATATCAATTCAGATTCTCACAAACACAACAAGCTAATACATTTTGCAAGTTAATTAATATATTATTGCCTATTCTTTTTTAATAATTTTGATACTGGCAAAAAGGGTCCCATAAAGAAAACTGCTCACCCCAAGCCAATAATGCTTTGATATTTGCCTTGCCCTTGTACTCTCGTTTTTCAACATAAAGAGCCAATTAATGTTTCCCATGTCTATTTTGAACGCACCTCTCCTCTTATTTCTCAATGTTTGTCTTTATTTCTCATTATATACACCTGCACGTGCCTCATATATTCAGAAAGATGTTAACTCCCTCACCTGGTACGCAGGAGGGAGTGGGTTCGATCCCGACCCTAACGCCTGTATATGTGGCGTTTGCATGATCTCCCCGTGGTCGCGTGGATTTTATTCCGGGTCCTCCAGTTTTTCCCTCCACATTTAGAATCAACGTCACGCATTTAGAGAATTTGGCTGCAAAAAATCTAAACGTGACAATGATAAGCCACTTTGTTGAGCTTTAATTTGTGGCCAGGTCGCATATGAATAAGAGCTACATAGCCCAGCGGGCCTTACCTGGTTTAAATAAAAAAAATAGTTTAGTTTAGGCCTCTTTTGTAATCTCTGCTTGGGTCAGGCGCTGTGCCGGCGCTGTGCCGGCGCTACAGCCGGGGCCAGCGCCGGCACTACTGCCGGGGCCGGCGCCGGCACTACTGCCGGGGCCGGCGCCGGCATTCGGGGGGAGAAGCTGCAGCCGCGATGCCGTCCCCCACGCTGCCCCCGTGGGACCTTGAACTGCTCCTCGGAGGCGATGAGCAGGGAGTGGCCGCCCTGCATCTCGGCGGCGCGCGCCAGGTCGTGCGACGCCTCCAGCGGCTCGGGCAGCGGACGCCCACGCCCGTCCAGCGCCCACACCGACACGACGGGCGCGCGGTGCATCAGCTGGATCTCCTTTGCTGCGCACGACGTGGGGCGCGGCGAGGGAGGCGCAAGGGGGGGGGGGGGGAGAAGCCGATGTGTCCAGGTGGTGCTTGGGCGTGGCGACGGAGCAAAGCGGAGAGGGGGCCTCTGCCGGGCAGGGTGTGGCGATGCGGGGGGTGTGCGCCAGTTCGCGGGCAGGGAGAACGGGCGAGGCCGGGTATGGTGACGCAATGCACGGTGGGTCAGGGTTAAGTGTGGCGAGATGTTATCTCCCTTGCCTGGTACGCAGGAGGACGTGGGTTTGATTGCGACTGTGACACCTGCATATTTGGAGTTTGTATGTCTCTCTCCAGATTCTGTTATACATCTACACATGCTGATAAGCCACTTTTATTTCGGCTTTCATTTATGGCCAGGTCAAGAGCTATATCGTTCAGTGGGCCTTACCTGGAAAAATAAAAACTAGTTGATCGTAACGAGTCCAGGCGAGATGGGCCGGAGTGGTCACAGCAGGGCGAGCGTTGGGTGCATCTCATTTCATTTGGAAAGTCGCACAAACCACGGTGGGTGGCGAGATCTAAATGTGGAGCGGGAAGCACCGGAGCGCGCCGCTCACCCAGCAGCGCCGCTCACCCAGCAGCGCCGCTCACCCAGCAGCGCCGCTCACCCAGCAGCGCCGCTCACCCAGCAGCGCCGCTCACCCAGCAGCGCCGCTCACCCAGCAGCGCCGCTCACCCAGCAGCGCCGCTCACCCAGCAGCGCCGCTCACCCAGCAGCGCCGCTCACCCAGCAGCGCCGCTCACCCAGCAGCGCCGCTCACCCAGCAGCGCCGCTCACCCAGCAGCGCCGCTCACCCAGCAGCGCCGCTCACCCAGCAGCGCCTCTCACCCAGCAGCGCCGCTCACCCAGCAGCGCCGCTCACCCAGCAGCGCCGCTCACCCAGCAGCGCCGCTCACCCAGCAGCGCCGCTCACCCAGCAGCGCCGCTCACCCAGCAGCGCCGCTCACCCAGCAGCGCCACTCACCCAGCAGCGCCACTCACCCAGCAGCGCTTGGATGGCGAGCTCGGAGCGCCGGTCAGGGCTGGGCACGTCCAGCGAGTACGCAAACACCGTGCCCGCGTTGGTGCCCACCCAGAGCGTGGGGCCGTGCCGTACACCTGCCCAAAGACACAGATCCCCTGTATAGCCTTAACAGACGGTAGGAGCAAGTGCTGTTAGCCCACACAAAGACATACATACGTGCACGCACGCGGACAGCCACTTTGTCAATAACCTGTCTAGAATTATTCTCTTAACAATCTTCTCTCTGGCCCTCCTCCTCCCTGTGCCCAATCCGTTCTCGGTCCTTCTCCCTCCTTGCACCCCTCCACTGGAATCAACTTCCCTGTACATTGAACTACACTGCCCATAGACTCAACACTGCTGCTCATAGACTCAACACTGCTACCCATAGACTCAGCACTGCTACCCATAGACTCAGCACTGTCACCATAGACTCAACACTGCTTCCCTATAGACTCAACACTGCTACCCAGAGACTCAACACTGATGCCCAGAGACTCAATAGACTCAACACTGCTGTCATAGACTCAGCCCTGCACCAGTACATTAAACAGTCCACCTCCTTAGAGTCATCATTACTAATCTGTGTCATTGTTTTGCAAGCTACATCAAGTAGGAAGTGTTCCACATACACTGGTTAAATTAGATTGGATTACTACCATAGGATAACTAATTTAAGGTAGCACTCGTCACACAGAAAGTTCTCGCCTCAAATGAAGCACAATACTCTGCTGATCCCGTCAAGGAACATAAACCATCACGCAAACTCCGCTCATCCTCACAGCACGGCTTTTGGCGAGCCATCAAACAAAGACGGTCACTGCATCGTGCTTTAGGATGCACTTCTGCGGCCATCTGGAACGCTCTTCCTTCCGATATTAGGAAGCCACTGGAGCTATGCACTTTTAAATCATTGCGATTGAAAACTATTTTTTTTGGAAACTGCTTTTTGTGTTTCATTTGTTTTCCTTCCCCCGCTCCTCCTGTTAGCACGGTTGGCTATGTACGTTGTAACAGAAGTTAAACATCCAAACAGACATATTACATTTTAACTTAAAACTTTCGTGACTGCAGGAATTCATATTCTTGGTTCTTTCGGTAAAGTTACGTAGATAGAAAATAAAAATAAAAAATAAATTTAAATAAAAAATAAAAGCAAAAAACCACGAGGTTTTGATGGCAACACAAGCGGTCTTCATCAGGCGGAGAGAAAAGAGGGGGCAAGCCTCCACATGCAGCTGCTTACAAGGGCTTTCAGAGAGAGCCAGAATATACAGACAAAGTCCTACACATGTAACCGGTGGCACAATGGGGCTATGGCCGTGCTGACGTCTGGAGGCGACCGCTCCCGGCTGGCCAAATGTTGCGGTGCGTAACGGTGTAGCGATGCATAGCGGTGCGTAGTGTAGTGGGTGTAGTGGTGCGTAGCAGTGCGTAGCGGAGCGGTGCGTAGCGTAGCGGTGCGTAGCGTAGCGTAGCAGTACGTAGCGTAGCGGTGCGTAGCGTAGCGGTGCGTAGCGTAGCGGTGCGTAGCTTAGCGTAGCGGTGCGTAGCGTAGCGGTGCGTAGCGTAGCGGTGCATAGCGTAGCGTAGCGGTGCGTAGCGTAGCGGTGCGTAGCGTAGCGGTGCGTAGCGTAGTGGTGCGTAGCGTAGCGTAGCGGTGCGTAGCGTAGCGGTGCGTAGCGTAGCGGTGCGTAGCGTAGCGGTGCGTAGTGTAGCGGTGCGTAGCGGTGCGTAGCAAAGTGTAGGGATGCATAGTGTAGCGACGTATAACGTCACGTAGCGGTGCGTAGCGCAGCCGAACGTCGCACCGTCGCGCAGGAAGGTGTCGGCGAAGTAGAGGCAGCGCACGAGGCCAGAGAGGGAGTCGTCGAGCGAGCGCGGCTCCACGCGGCGCTGCACCGGAGCCACGTCAGCGTCACGCGCCGCCGCCTCCTCCTGCTGCTGCTGCTCCGCCAGGCGAGCGTTCGCCTCCTGCACCTGCGCCCCCGCGGGGGGGTCACGCACAAAGACAAAGATCCCCCATGTAGACTTTAACAGACTGTTGGGGCAAGTGCTGTTTGCGAGTAGCACCTATGAAGGCCGGCACTGTGACACAGGAGGGGGTGGGTGGCCAGCACCACGCTCGGTTGCCTTCGTCTCCCCGGCACTCGCCCACACAGTCTGTCGAGGCTGTACGTGGAGGGGGGGGATCATTGCCTTTGTGGGTGACGTGGGGGTGGTGGGGGAGCAGCACCTTGGTGGCCGGGCTGCCGGGATCCGCACGCTTCTTTCCGGAGACGCGGCTCTTGCGGATGCGTCGGAAGGACTGGCGCAGCGACTTCTTCAGAGACTTCACACGCGACAGCGGTCCCTCTAGGGCGAGCGTCTCGCTGGGGTGCAGCGTGCAGCTGTGGGGGGGGGGGGGGGTCAAGGGGTCGCACAGCCCGCGCGGGGTCAAATTCGCGGGGTCACACTCGACGAGGGCCCGACGCCTGTCCCGCCGTAAGAAGCCTCGTTGGGTATGACTACAGCACAGGGTCAGTGCGTAGTCAGGCCTGACTGGCCAATTAAGCTGGCCAAAGGTGGCGTGCATCTGAAAGCGTAATGAGTGTCCTCATTGTTGGGGAGACCTGGGCCTCACTCAAACTCCCACCCTGGGCTGCTATCTTACGGCCATTTCAACGGCGAGGGCTGAGGTGTATCCATCATCCTTCGCTAGCCATCGAACAAAGACGGCCACCGCATCGCGCGCATTCAGGTGCGCTTCTGCGGTCGTCTGGAATGCTCTTTCTTCCGATATTAGAAATTTCTTTAGAACTACTTTTTGTGTTTAGTGTGTCGTCTTTCCCCTGAACCTCTGATTAGCACGGTTGGCTACGTTACGGTGCGAAAAAAGTTTTACATCCATCCATAAAAGGAAAACATTTGATTCTTAAATTCATCTGTCCGTGAGGCTATAGAGTGGCTAGGAGATGGCAGTACTGCCACGGCTCTGTTGGAATCCTCAAACGCGTGGGTTTGCTACCACGAGCCAATCAATGCAGAACCCTCATTAAAAATAAAATACTACAAAGAGTCCTCGAGACTCGAAGAATCTCCTGGATAATAAAAATTATTTGTGGTCCGCTTAGCAGAGGGGAAGCCGAGGGGTTCGTGCACGGCGAGGTGAAGTGGGGACAAGGGAAGGCCCACCGCGCGAACACCACGTGGGCCTTCTGGTAGTCGAAGAGGCCGAATCCGTGGCTCGTGCCAAAGGCCAGGAGGCGCCACTCGGCGTGCAGGACCAGCGCCGTCACAGCTGCCGGTGGCAGCACCTACGGCACGCACAGACAAAGGTCCCCTGTATAGCCATGCTAACCGTTGGGGCAAGTGCTGCTCGTGAGCACTGACAACACACACACACACAAGGTCCTTCACATACAGCAAGTCACCGTTTAACGCAGGGGTTGCGTTCCTGAACATTTCCGTGTAAAGGGAATCCGCGCTAAGTGGGAATAATTTTCCTCTAAGGAATAACGGCGAAGGTGGGACTGCTATCCCAGCCCGGAGTTTGATTGCTTTCATTTGAAGGTGCGCTGCTGTTTGACATGTGTTGTGTATACATAGCGCAAGGAAAAACCGGAGGACGCGACCACGGGGAGAGAGTGAGGAGAGAAACGCAGCAGGCATCGGTCAGGGTCAGGATCGAACCCATGACCTACTGCATACGAGGCGAGGTAGGTAGAAGGAACGGGACAACGGAAAACAACATGGGCACCACTGTTCCCCCTCCCCCCCAGGAGCGGACACCTGCAGCAGGAGTCCGGGCCGGTAGCCGGCCGGCAGCGCCCGGGGCCCGGGCCGCACCACGAGGCGCTCGTGGCCCTTCCAGGCGAAGCCCTCGCGCTCCTTGAGCAGGTCCACCGTCACCACGGCGATCTCCTGCACGGCCGCCTCGTCCCCCAGCTCCATGATGAGCACCTGCGTGCGCAGCGCGGATCGCCGCTCGGCCCTCCCCCGTCACGGTCGCTCCCTTCCCCGCCCGCGGCGCTACCCAGCGGCCACCGCGAGCGGAGGGTGGGCTGGGGCCACCGCGAGTGCGACGTGGGCTCACGGGGTCCACGAATCTCGCCTCCCTCATCTCATTCCACGCTCCTTCTCGCCCTCTCAGTTTACAATCCCCGCCGTCTCTGTCCCCGTTGCCCCTCCTCCTTGTGCTCTGTCACCATTCCCTCCCTTTCTCGCTTCTGGCCCCCTGACGCTGGAACGGCCCCTAAACGTCAACCAGCCTCACCGTCTCTTTCCTTCTTCCCTTAAGACACTCACTCACTTTCCCTCGCTTACCCCGACTCTCCTTCCCCATCCCTAACTCCATCCCTCTTCCAAACTTCCCTACCCATCCATAACACTCACTCGTCATCAACCACTCACTGTCGCGGACATCATTGTTTATTCTACGCATCATCATATTCATCACGCACGACCATCCTCATCAGCTCAACTCACTTCTGCTGTACAAATAGCCAATTCTTTGTTCAGCTCCATGGCCAAGGCGCATAATAAATTAAGAACTCCCCTCGTGCTCTGCTTCACGGCCGCGCAGTAAATGGCCCTAGGCAGGTGAACAAACGGACGCCGCAAACGCTGACAGGCGTCTTTCTTGTTCACGTCACGGGTCTGAAGGTGCTATGAGCCAAACTAAACTATTTTTATTTTATTTTACCAAGTAACGCCCACTGAGCTCTATAGCTTTCTTAGAAGCAACCTGGCCACAAATGATAGGTCAACGAAGTAGAAATTTATAGCAGCCAAATACTCTAAATGCGTGATGTTGATTCGAAATGTGGAGTGAAAATCCGTAGGACCCGGAGTAAAATCCACGTGACCACGGTGAGAGAGACACGCAAACTCCAAATATACAGCAGGCGTCAGGGTCAGGATCGATCCCATGATCCCCTGCGCATCAGGCGAGGTAGTTAACACCTCGCCACCGCGGCACCCTGGGTCCTCCAAGGCCCTCGCACAGCAACCGATGGCAACCGCTCACAGCGGTGGAACGGCCCCAAGGAGTCTGAACAAAACGCGGAGTCCCAGCCCCAGTCCCAGTCCAAGTTCCAATCTCAGTCCCAGTTTCAGTCCCAGTCTCAATTTTAGTCCCAGTCCCAGTCCGCGACCAACCTGGCCGGCCGTCCCCGCCACCAGGAGCCGCCCGCTGAACTTGCACAGCGAGATCTTCTGGATCCCCAGGCGAGGGTCGTCGCTGTAGGGGTCGAAGCAGCCCACCTGCCAGCACGGACGGCACGGAGGTCAACATTCGCGGCTTTTCTGTGGAGACGTTCACAGTTGCTGGGGGTGGTGGTATCCTTTGTATAGCCTACACTTTTTTTTACTTTACCAGGTAATGCCCTTTTTCGGAAGCGACCTGGCCACAAATTGATAGCTCAACAAAGTGGCTTATCACGTGGTAATTCATGGCAGCCAAATACTCGAAGAACAGAAGATGATATACGGCCCTGTCGAGACGCACAATGCCTCTTTTGCAAGCAGGGCCGACCAAAGTTAAGTAAAATGATATTTAATATGACAAAATACACCAACAACTCGCCCATCGCAGGTTTTCCCATCGCAGATATGACAATTAATATTTGACGTTGTGTGGACAGCTGTGTGTGGAGAGCGATAGTCCAGCAGGCGACCCAAGTTCGATTTCCGCTCACGGTCAACACCATTGACGATTATTATCTGAACCGGTAGTGGGCCTCCCCTAGGTCCACTCAGCCTCAAATGATTACTTGGTGCAGTGCCGGGGAGACGAAGGTGGCCGGGCATGGTGCCGTCCACCCCACCCCCTCGCTCGCCATGCCGGCCTTCATTAGGTGCTTGCTCACAGCACTTGCCCCAACAGCCTCTTAAGGCTATACGGGCGGAGGGCTCTTTGTCTTTGCGCGCAAGCGGCAGGGCCCACCTTGACGAAGGGAGGCCACTCGTCGTCGCTGGCGGGGCCCAGGCCCTCGCTGTGCTCGCCGTCCGTCTGGAAGAGTGGCGCGGTGCTCAGGATGTAGAGCGGAGTGAGCCCAGCGCCCGACGCGTCCCAGAAGCGCACCGTGCCGTCCTCGTGCCTGCACACACGCACACACGCACGCACGCACACACACACACACACACGCACGTTGTGGCGTATACACATGCGCACGCACGCGCACACATGCACACACTCACACACACGCACACACACGCGCACACACGCGCACCTGCACGTACGCACATGCACGTTGTGGCGTGTACACATGCGCATGTACGCGTACGCACACACGCGCATGCACACACACACAAAAAGACAAATATCCCCTAAAAAGCATTAACAGACAGTTGGGGCAAGTACTGTTAGTGAGCACCTATGAAGGCCGGAAAAGGCACATGAGGTGGTAAGGTGGCCAGCACCACGCCCGGCCGCCTTTGTCTCCCCAGTGGCGACATTTACACACTGCACCGGGTACTCATTTGAGGATGGGTTCGTAGCGCAGCGCACTAACCGCTTACACCACCGCTCTTCTACGCACTTAGACCCTGCTGACAAGTGGTCGATACCCTCCCTTCACCACCAGGAAGGAATGGGGAGAATCACCGCTCGAGTGTTTCACATCGGTGAGCGTCGCATGCTGGGCGGCTTACCCTGTGAGCAACAGATTCCTTTCGCTCGGCTCTGGGAGAAGGTTCCTCCCTCCCAGGATCGGCCAACTCTGCAGACAAGGTTGAGTTAGTCCCTATTACAGGGGACACCCACGTGGGAACCCCACAGGGGCGGTGGAAAATGTGTGGATAAAAAAACATCACAAGCATCTGACATCTCTAATAAGCGTAACATAATTATAAATCATATTTTACAGCGCTTATGTCAATCTTAACACTGGATGTATAAGATCGTGCTCATTACACACAAAGTTCTTACCACAAATGAACCACAATACCTTTCTGATCTCGTCAAAAAGCATAAACCATCACGCAAACTCCAGTCATCCTCGCAGTCACTTTTGGATAACCATCGGACAAAGACAGCCGCCACGTGGCGTGCTTTCAGATGCACTTCTGTGGCCATCTGGAATGCTCTTCCTTCCCTATTAGGTCTGAATTAAATCTAAATTAAAAACTAATTTCTCTAGAAATGCTTTTTGTGTTTTGTTTGTTTGTCCTTCCCCCCACAGGTCCAATTAGCATGGTTGGCTAAAGAATTGCGAGATATTCTCGCTAGAGCAAGTTTACCGCTCGCCCGAGAAAATTATCGCTGTACCCAGAGAGAGACCGTGGCAAACCCAGTACACCCGGCCAGAGACGATGTGGAGAGACACAGGGAGGAGGAGGAGGAACTCACGGCGCTGGGCGCGAGCGTGCGCTGCGCACGCCCCGTGGCGCGCACTCGCTCCCAGAGGCGCAGCGGCACCGCGGCCACGTGGCACGAGCACGTGATCGCCGACGAGTGCAGCGGGGAGAGGTACGGGGGCGGCACGGTGGGCCAGCCGTCCGTCGCCAGGTCCAGGACCACCAGCTCCTCCTCCACCAGGACCACCAGGGCCGTGGCGTCACCGCCACCGACGGCACCTGCACGAGAAGCACGGCGATTGGCCGATGACGATCGCTACCGGGAGAAAAACCACGACGCCCGCCCGCTCCGAGTCGTTCGCCGCCGATGCCAGCCACGACGTGGAGTCGAATGCAGGTCGCTGGGTTCGTAGCGCGGCGCGCTCACCGCCACAAAGACAAAGATCCCCCGTATAGCCTCATATACGTCGGTCCTTCTCCCGCAGCTCCATGTAGCACTTGCTCTTAACAGTCCGTAGGGGCACAAAGACAAAAACAAACACGCCCGCTAACACACTGCCCCCCCCTCCCTCTGGGAGCGAGCGAGTAGAGGGGAGAGGAGGGGGGTCTCTCCGCGTGCCCCCACCCCCACCCCCCACCCCCCACCCCCCACGGCCTCACCGCCAGCCGCAGCGTCGCCGTGCACCGTGAAGAAGTCGACGACTCGCGACGTGAAGTCGAAGGCGGCGTGGCGCCCCCCGCCGCGGCGCACCGTCACGCAGTGCCGGTCCCCAAAGCTGGCGCGCGGCATCCCCCCGCCAAACACCAGCAGGGACTCTCTGCACCGCACACAAAGACGACCGTTCAACCCGCACCCCCCTCCCCTCCCGTAGAGCATTCAAGCACTTTTGGGACGAGTGTTCATGGTGGCGAGGTCAGAGCGCAGAGCTGCCACCGTCGACTGCCGGGGTTTGAATCAGAATCAGAGTTGAGACTGCAGGAGGAGGAATCCGATGAGCTACGAAGCTCTTCATCGCAGATGTCCTCCAGTAGGGGCGGCGAGTCCGCAAGTTACAACAACAATAAACGACTCACAAAACGATAGGAGTGCAAAGTAGAGAATAGGTGAGCTAGTCATTAAAAATAAGTAAATGTAAAATAAAAAGTATAAAAAGTACTTTATTTTTATTTCCAGCATATATGAACAAAGACAAAGATCCCCCATTTAGCCATCACAGACTTCTGAAACAAGTGCTGTTTGCGAGCATTTGTTCAAGCCGGCAGGGCACATGACGGGGTGGGTGGTCAGCACCACGCCTGGCCACCTTTGTCTCCCCAGACATCGACGCAGGTACTAATTTAAGGCTGAGCCGACCTAAAAAACTACTAAAAACTACTTTGTATTTTACCAGGAAAGACCCACTGATCGATGCATCTCTTTTTCAGAAACGACCTAGCCACAAATGACAGCTCAACAACAAAGTGACTGATGACGTAGAAATGTATCGCAGCCAAATACTCTAAGCACACGTTGATTCTAAAAGTGGAGGGCAAAACCAGAGGACCCGGAGAAAAAATGCAAGCGACCACAGGGAGAGAGAAATGCAAACTCCAAATATGCAACAGGCGTCAGGGTCAGGATCGAACCCACGACCTCCTGTGTACCAGGCAAGGGAGATAACATCTCCCCTAGCCACCATGGCGCCCCTCCTGCATCACGACAGTGCACACAGGGAGAATCAAAACAAGTTCCCCACATCCATCACTGACGCCGCCTCTGGACAGAAGCGATGTTTCCCCAGAGAAGAAAAGGCCGAGTGTGCAAGGGTCGTTGCCCGAGACACGACGAGCCCGTTGTATTCTTGTTCCGCGCAGCGTAGTGAAAATGTGGCCTTCTTATTGCGGCCAAGCCCTCAGAGGCAGCACTGCCGCGGCAAGCCCTGACGCTCGTCTTTGCCGTACAGTGCATCTCGGACACTTACAGCCACACTCGGAGATTTAACAAAAAGTACCACGTGGTTAAAAGCTTCAAGCTGAGCTTCCCCCGTGGCACGACAACATTTGGTGTTTTACGGGCATTGAATTATTTATCCATGGGGGACCGACCGTGTTGCTGGGACAGCTGACATGGACACTGCTGTTCCAGAGTCGGGGCAATGTCCCGAAATCCCCAACAACAGCCGCAGGCAACTACAGATCCCCACCTCGACAGCAGCCCACAGCCAGCCCCCCCTCACGAAGCCCCCCGCGCCCCCCCCCCCCTCACTCCGGGGCCTCCCCCTCCCTTCCCTCTCACTCTCCTTATCACTCCACTCTCCGCATCTTCAACTAAACTAAAAGATGTGACTTTACCAGGTAAAGCCCACTGAGCTATTAACTCTTTTTAAGAAGCGACCTGGCTATCACAAATGATAGCTCAGCGAAGCAACTCATCATCGCGTGGAAATGTATAGCAGCAGTCAGAGGAGGAGGGAGGGGGGAGACAACGCAGCGCCGCGGAGGCTGGGAAACCGGAGTCACGTTCGGGAGATAACGCCACGTGGCGGCAGTCGTCTCAGAACAGAAATTATTCCATCGGTTTACCCAGGAAAACCTCAGAGTCTAAAGAGAATCTTGTTCAGGAAGGTCCGGCAGCATTGGGGTATTTTTGGAGAATTCCATTCGTGAGAGTTTGGCTTTGTGTGGGAAAAAAAAACGTTGTATATGTGGAGGAGAAAACTCCACTGTGCAAGCGTGAAACGCTCAAAAGTCCCCGTGAACATTTCTGTACTGTCCCTGCGCTGGCACCTCGCAGCTCCACACAGACAGCACCGTGCGGCGCACTGGCAGTCACCCACACACGGCGCAGCAGGCTCGCCCCGGCTGAGCTTACCCACACACGGGGCGCAGGCTCGCTCCGGCTTAGCTTACTAAACCTGGCGGGGACCTCGATCCGTGGATTTGGTTCCCGGCCGCCGGGACTCACAATCGGGACGAGTTTATCTCATGCTGCCTTTACTCCCAGACCTGAACAGCTCCAATGATTAGAATTAACCATCTGGCTATTGCAAAAGCATTGTGTGGGGGAGGAGGAGAATATATATATATAAATAAATATACCCCATACTCTGGACATTTTAACAAACTCATTACGCGTTTCCCAGGACGTCGCGGGGAAAAGCAAATGTCAGCAAACGCTCGATGCGGCGTCGTGCACGGAGAGGAGCAAAGAGCGCGCCGCTTGCGTGCTCGTTGCGGAACGTGGAGGTCACCGTTTGTTCAAGGCTCACATCTACGGTCATAAAGATGCCGTGTTCACCGTACACAATGACGATGACGGCGCACGGGACGTCCCCTCTGCAGCCCGAGCGCTCGCTTCAAACAATATCCTCAAGCAGACGATTCGCCCTGCATGCAACTGCGTTTTGCAAATTTGTAACTTTCATCCTTACACCGTGTATCGAGAGTGACATTGCAATGTGCAATGTTATTGGGGGACTGTGCGTTGCTGTTGTCTTGCTGTGGTCTGGGACTCTTCTTGCTTTGCTGCCTTGCCCAAGCTTGGGAACTGGTGCAACTTAAACTTAGAAACTTTATCTGTTTTACGGAAATTTTGTTACGATTTGCTTACATATTCCTATACTTTGCACTCCTATTGTGTTTTTGTGTTGTTTGTTGTTGTAACTGTGAGCCGCCCCTACTGGACATCTGTGAAAAAGAGCTTTAAAGCTCATCGGATTCCTCAATAGACAAGAATGAAAATGAGTGCGGCCCCATTGCTCGTTTTGCAAGGAAGATATTATGAAACTCGCCTTTTTGCCCGTCCAAGGACGGGTGTATTGCTAATAAATCTGAAACTTGCAAGCGAAAAGCAGCCCGCGACGTGATATTCATTGCATCAATGCGTGTGCAGTTTGTAAGGGAGCGGTGACACAGACTTATTGCATGTAAAGGTTAAAATCCCTTGTTCATCACGACGTCCTTTTTACTTTGATGTCTCAACAGCATGACGGAGATCGCGTGAACGTGAGGGTTCTGCCTTGTGAGTGAGGTTTGTGAGTTGACGCTGAGGAGGGGGGAGGAGGCTCCTCGGCCCCCGATGTGGAGTGACGTCACCCGCTAATTATTATTAATGGGGGGGGGGGGGGTGTCCACTTGAAGGACGTCACCTTATAATGATCATTAATGACGCTGGGCGTAGGGGGGTCACGTTTGAATGATGCGTTGTTAGAAACATGACGACTCACCCGTTGCTGGAGTCCTCCCACAGGACCTTGGTGATGGCCTTGCAGGGGAAGGGGCCTGTGGATGGGAGAGAGGCCACAGGGCGGTGAGGCACAGCCACGCTGCGAGACGGTCCAGGTGGCCACCTCAGGACGACGGAGACACTAACGTGTCCACCGTGAGATGGTCATACACACACGCAGGGTCCGTATATTGCAATCTAATTGAATATTTATAAAGTGCCTTCATTAAAAGGTGCTTGACGTAGCTTGCAAAACAATGACACAGATTGGAATGATGTCAATGACATCACTGTCAATGACATCACTGTCAATGACATCACTGTCAATGACATCAAGGATTGAGGAACAAATGGCAGTGATAGAGGGGTACTCGGGGATCACGAAAGGGCAGGGGAGGGACGGAACGGAGTGGAGGGGAGAGGAAGGGAATGGGTGATGATGGAGAAGAGGTGAGGGCTTGAGAGAGGTTTGGAAGGAGATTAAGGAAGGGGACTGCTTAATGTACTGGGCAGTGTTGAGTCCATCCCAACACTGCACGTCCGCCGGCTGTGGGGCGAGTGACCGTGGCGCTGGGAGCGTGCGTGGCGTGTGGGACGTGTGTCCATGGCGCTGGGTGTGTGCGTGGCGTGTGGGACGTGTGTCCGTACCGTACGTGACGCTCGTCTGTGGCTGCTCCTCCCCGGGGCTCCACACGCTGTGGCTGCCATCGCTGTGCGAGCTCACGATGCCATCGCCGGTGCCCTGCCACGTGGCGCTCTCCAGCTACCGCCGAGCGTGCCGCACAAAGACAAAGATCCCCTGTGTAGCCTTCAGACTTTTGGGGCAAGTGCTGTTAGCGAGTAGCACCCATGAAGGCCGGCATGGCACACGAAGGGGGTGGGTAGCCAGCACCACGCCTTTGTCGCCCAAGTGGTGATGTTTACACATCTCACCGGGTACTCATTGCAGGGGGAGGCCCAGGACCAATTCGTAGAGCAGCGCGCTAACCGCTGTGCCACCGCTCCCCAAGGGTGGTGGTTGGGGGTGGTGGGGGTGGTGGTTGGGGGTGGTTGTGGTTGGGGGTGGTCGTGGTGGTTGGTGGGTGGGAAGTGGTGGTGATTGGGGGTAGTTGTGGTTGGGGGTGGTGGTTGGGGGTATTGGTGGTGGTTGGGGGTATTGGTGGTGGTTGGGGGTGGTGGTTGGTGGTGGTGGTTGGGGGTGGTGGTTGGGGGTATTGGTGGTGGTTGGTGGTGGTGGTTGGTGGTGGTGGTTGGGGGTGGTGCTCACAGGCGCCCCCAGGTGGTGTCGCTGGGCGGCGTGGCGCCGGAGGTCCCACACAAGGAGGGCCCCACGGCCGTAGCCGACGAGCAGCAGGTGGGGCCGTGCGGGGTGCTGCTGCAGGGCCTCCACGGGGCCCAGGGGCTGGCACGGCCGCTGCTCCACGCCCACTCTGCACGGGCACGCGGCCGCACAAAGACAAAGATCCCCGGTGTAGCCTCAATAAACTGTCGGGACAAGTGTTAGGTGCTACTTGGGGCCAAACAAAGACAAAATCCCCGGTATATCCTAAACATTTTTTTGGGGCGAGTGCTGTGAAGTGAGCAATTATGAAGGCCGGCACGGCACACAAGGGGGTGGGTCGCCAGCAACACACTTGGTCGCCTTTGTCTCCCCAGTGGTGATGTTTTACACACTGCACCAGGTACTAATTTGAGACTGAGTCGACCTAGGAGAGGCCCACAAGTAGTTCAGATTATCATCACTGGTGTTGGCCATGAGCGGGAATCGAATTCTGTTCGCTCGGTTCGTAGTGGAGTGTAGCCACTCACAGGGCGATGCACACGTACACACACACATGCATGGCAATCGTACTAGTCTAGAAAAAAGATCTCTGCCTGGATTCCTGCCTGCCTGGCTGGAATCCAGGCCTGCTGGGGTGTGGGCTCCTCCTTCAGCCATGCACGGTGTGTAGGGGGGAGTTGTGGTCAAATTCTTCACCAGGTCCTACATGAACTTGGTGGTCAAGAGATGGATCAGAGTTCTTCGCCGTTGCCATGGGAACACGATGGTGCAACCTGTTACACTTTCTCTCTGGTGTGGAAATTACTTTTTAAGAAAAGTAAATTTACTTTTTCAGAAAAGTTAATTTACAATTACACAGCAGCACTGTGCTATAAACCCAGTGCACACAGGTCCTGCCACCCACACAACTCTAAACCACACAGAAGTCATTCGTTTAGTTTTTCACATTCCGTCTCAACGTTTCCACATTGTGCAAAGAATTCCTTCCGTCAGCGACTCTCGTTTTAAAAACTCCCGCTTTAACATTTACGAGAATTCTTTGAGTTTTCTCTTTTCCCCACAGATCTGACACTGCCAACTCCACACAATGAAGATGGAATTGCTTGCAAGCAGGGATGGATATAAAGCACGGAACACTGGGCTGCACGCGCTGCCAGACGGATGTTTCTCACTGCCGCGCGTGCGAACTTGAGGACAGTGAGCGCAGCGGGGGGCTGCGTTCGGGGGGCTGCAGGTTTGTGTCGGGGGCGCATCCAGTGGAGGCCGGGCGGTAGCCATGTTGGCACACACGCAGAGCCGTGGTGGGGGTGGTAGAATGAACACCTCATCGAAGCCCAAACATCGCAAACATCGCACCTCCTGGTTGTCTATTTTCTTGAAGACACCGGTGGAACCACCAACAGCATCACGACACCAACAGTCTGATGCACGCATCATGCATCTCCTTTTTTAGTGCATAATTTAGCATGAGATGCAGCAGTGCGATCATGGCCATACAACCTAAACGATGGACCGAATAGTTAACCCACAGAGACGTCTACAGACCCATTAATGACAAGCCACAGAAGAGTGACGGTGGCCATGCAACCCAAGCAACGGGCCACACATTAAACCAGCGTCATCCGCACTCCGTCAACAGAGGAAGAACACAAGTACACCAACTCTCTCCCTTGAGGTGCTCTCATGACTAAGAGACCTTGACATTGGCACCTGAAGCACATGGACATATTGCCGTATACAAACACTGAATCAACACCAACCTTCTAACGAGACTCACTGAAGGGATATTCGATCCGTGATGCGTCTGGTTGTTCTCATGTAAATTATTTTATCCGAGTTTGCCCTACAAAGTGATGAAAGGAAATTGATTCTCACTGCTCGCAATGTTGCACAGTGAAATGCTTCCAATGAGAACAACATTTATTTACATTGCCCTGTCATGCACTTTGTAGACTTAATATTGTTGGTGCTGACTGCTAGAAAAAATATATTATAGCGATCGATTCAATGGGAGAACTTAGTAAATACGTAAACGTCAACATTTTTAGAATCAATGAGAGCAAGGTCCACATGCTGCCAACAGGCAAAACAAAGAGAGGCGAGTCCCATCTTCATCGAGGCCAAGGCCATTTCACCCATCCCCACGCACAAAGACAAAGATACCCCATGTAGCCATAACAGACTGTTGGGGCAAGTGCTGATCGCCAGTAGCATCTGTGAAGGTCAGCACCACGGCACACGAGAGGGTGGGCGGCCAGCACCATGCCTGGATGCCTTTGTCTCCTCAGTGGTGATTTTTAAATCCTTTATATTAAGTTCGCTTGCTTGCTTGCATGCTTGCGTGCTTGCGTGCTTGCTTATGACCGTGCAAATCTTTCGGTCGTGTTTTAACCCACTTCCCGTGATCCAATCGAGCTGACATTTTGCACACAGACTCGTTGTGCGAGACAATTAATGTTCGTGAAATTTTTTTTCCAAAATTTTACACTGTTTAGGGAAAACAAATTAAATATTTAATTACCAATTTCTTAATACTGGCAGACAATCATCTGACCCATAGGTGGTAGCCATCTCAAGCCAGAGGACGAGAGGACTCTAGCCGCCACGCATATAAAGGATTTATAGTGAAAAACTTTGTTTTTATGGGTTTTACTTATTACACATCCTACCAGGTAGTTATTGGAGGCTGAGTTGACCTACGGGAGGCCCAGGACCGATTCAGACAATCGTCACCGGTGTTGACCATGAGCGGGAATCGAACTCGAGTCGCAGCACAGCGTGCTAACCGCAGCACTCCCGCTCCCCACACACCGCGCGATTTACACAGCCACGTAAAAATACAAAGGTACCACCGGATGCTGTAGAGTCGTGATGAAGGAGAAAAGTGTGAGGGGGGTAAGGCGAGCATGGCACAGATCTGTACGGAACGATGTAGTGCACTAACAGCAGCAGCAGTAGCAATCAAATAGACTTCATGGGCCAGACACATATGGTCAGGATTATTAACACGAAACCCAGCATCCAAGGGCTACATTCAGCGTCCAGTCAAATTCTACACCTGCGTAGGCTCACCAAAACCAAAAAATATCAATGCGGTTAATATTTATGAGAATTCGTTTGAACACCAGAGTGCAACAAATCTCCATTGTGAAAAGCCAAACGTTTAACAATTTTGCGTCTCCACGAATCGCCGGAAGGCCATCCAGTTCAGTCGCTTTTCTTCCCTAGAGGTGGCTTGGGGTGCCACACCTCGTGAGGCCAGGGCCCCCATGCCGGAGGGCCTCAACTGATGCCGCCGAGAAGTCGGTTTCATGGTCAGGCGGCGACACCTCCGACTAACGCGGGAAGGGCCACGGACGGGTTTCTGGAGGCGAGGTGTTAAATGAAAAAATACCCCCCCCCCCCACCGAGACCCTTCTCTAAGACAATCTCTGAGGCCCCCCCCCCCCTTCGGATTGGAGGCTGAAAGCAATCTGCCCCCCCAAATACCCCTCACCCCACGGCCCCGACTGAGTTGTTCCCAGCTCGGGGACCTGACAAGCTCAGAACCAGGAGTGGATTCCCCACCGAGTGAAGCCCACCGAGCCAAGCAGCTCTTGTTCAAGGGTGACTCGGCCGGCAGACCGTGGTGAAGAGATGTTAACCATCTCGCCTGGTACACAGGAGGTCGTGGGTTCGATCCCAATCCCGACTCATTTATATTTGGAGTTTGCATGTTCTTTCTCCCCGTGGTCACGTGGATTTCTCTCTGGGCCCTCCGGTTTTTCTCTCCACATTTATAATCAACATCACGCGCTTAGAGTATTTGACTGCTATACATTTCCACGTGATAAGCCACTTCGTTGAGCTATCATTTGTGACCAGGTCACTTCTGAAAAAGAGCTATATAAGCACAGTTGGGCTTTAGCTGGCAAAATAGAAATAGCTTAGTTTAGTTCCGTGCGTGCCTCGTCACAGGCCACGAGGCGTCTGGCAGGTCAAGACGACAAGATGCGAGGCTGTCCGGACTGCAGACATTCCAGGCCGACATTTTACTCGCAAGGCTCCAATCGCGCAATACATCGTGCAACTCGTCACGAAACTGGGCTGTTGTTTTGCCCTTTACACATTTTTCTTCGGACTAAAAGAAACACCTAAGATGCAAAGCAACATCACACGTTCGTCAGCCTCGCAAACGAGGGCGAACGTGAAAATGTATTCACAAACCAAAGTTAAAGTGACGCTCGAAAGAATTGGGGACTGTAATTCAATAAAGTCACGTCAGTCCAAAAAAACCCACAATGTGTTTTTTATTATTATTCCGGAGAGCAACGAGGCCTGGAAATCATTCTCATGAAGTCGAATTTCCAGCCCTGACACTGAAACACAGACCTCATTTCCCGTTTGGCAACCGAGCCAATGCTGACGTAAAACATTTTAGTTCTTTTACAACCCTCATGAACACGGCCTTCTCCGTCAAAATACACAGTACACACCTCCTCGTGTTTACGAATGAGAAGCCATCAAATCGCAGCAGCATTATAAATAACGAGCAGGAACCCACGGAACTTCCACCGTAAAAGTATGGCAAATCTGTAAGTTGATCATCACTCCCCCGTCTCCTGGACCTCACCAATGTCACGTGACGTCAAAACCCGCCGACCATCTAATTGTATATTTTATTTTCGACTTATGCGACTCGCAATGCCTATTTACACTTTCTTTTGCGTGCGGTTGCGATTTGCTCCGCTCGGCCGGTGTCGGCCGCTGAGGTGGTGAGGGAGTCTCTCTCTGTCCCTCCCCGTTGCTCCATGCCCCACGGTAGCGTCCCGTTCTGCTGTAATGTGCACTCTGATATTGGCACGTAAAATTAAGATTGAGTGATTGATGATTTAGATGAGTGGCTCTCTGTCACCAAAACTTAATTTGAAATAAGTATAACCCGTAAAAACAAAGTTTTTCACTATAAATCCTTTATATGCGTGGCGGCTAGAGTCTTCTCATCCTCTGGTTTGAGATGGCTGCCACCTATGGGTCAGATGATTGTCTGCCAGTATTAAGCAATTGGTAATTAAATATTTAATTTGTTTTCTCTAAACAATGTAAAATTTTTGAAAACATTTTTCACGAACATTAATTGTCTCATTCAACGAGTCTGTGTGCAAAATGTCAGCTCGATTGGATCACGGGAAGTGGGTTAACAAACGACCGAAAGATTTGCACGGTCGTAAGCAAGCAAGCACGCAAGCAAGCAAGCAAGCGAACTTAATATAAAGGATTTAAAAACGACGACACTGCATTGGCGGCGGTGCTCAGTCACAATAACCAACACCCGTCACCTTCACGAGTAAAACACTGCGCTGACAGGGACACGAGAGGCGTAACGCGACGCTGCAGGCAGCGGCCCTCCTTCAGAGTCGAGGGCTCTTATTTGTACTCGGTGTCCGTGACAATGGCACTTCTTCCGAGCAAAGCCCTCTGCTGTGAAGAAAGGCCAGATATGTTGTCATCTTTAGGAGACTGTTATTGAGGAATGTGTAGCCTTGTTGGGTGTGTGTGTACACACACACACTCAACAAGGCTACACACACTCAGTGTGTGTACAAAACGGGAAATGTTAGCAATCAATGATTGTACGACTCTCCCCCAAATTGGATGAAGGTTGTTGCAAGGCAACGCCACTGCCTCGGCTGGCAGCATCAAGATGTTCAACAAGAGAAACTGGCTTAATCCAAATGTACAATACAAACAAGGTATGAATTGATGTGAAGAGCGTTGTAACGCATTCGGTCAGCCATAGTGAGAAGGCAAGAGGATGGTGGCGAGCCTCGACACGAACAGAGGCAGGGCGTGAGCAGCACGGGCGGCTGGGGGAGGAGATTGCAGACTTTGGTGGCAGCAAAGCCGGAGGAGTGACATCTCTCTCTGGGACCATTTCTGTCGGTATCAAGATGATGAAAACATGAAGAGGCTTTACCTTATCCAGCACCATCCCATCACCAACACCCGCCATTCGCCACGAAGTGACGGCGACGTCATCACAGCGCCTGTGCCAGGCTGGGTGCACCTACCCTGAGGTCACGTGAAGCGTCAAAGGCTTGCTGACAGGAGGTCACAGGACAGACCCAGTAGGTGCCATGGGTTGGCTGACTGAGATGACTGGCAGAAGCACCAGCTGTACTCCCTACTGTATCATCACCACCACTACCATGAACCCCTAACCACCATCATCACCACTGCTACCACTACCACAATACCATTACCATTTTACACCATCACTACCACTGCCACCAAAGATAAAGCTTCTTCATTTAGCCTTAACAGACTATTGGGGCAATTGCTGTAAGCAAGTATCCAGCACGCGAGGGGGGTGGGGTGGTCAGCACCACACCCGGCCGCCTTTGTTTCCCTATTGTCGATATTTACACATTACACCGAGGGGAGGCCCAAGGCTAGTTCAGATAATCATCACTGGTGTTGGTGGCGAGTGGGAATCGGACTCGGGTCGCCAGGTTCGTAGCACAGTGCGCTAACCACTGCAACACCACCCCAACACGATCACTACACCATCGCCACCATCGCCACCACCACCACCACGGCTCCCACCATCACCGCCGCCACCGCTGTGAGCTGCCCAGCTTGACAGCAAGGGCCACCACCGCACCCCCTCTCCTCCCAAGCATTCACGGTGGCAGTGGACCCGGGGGCCGCAGTGCGCACGAACCCAGCGCGTGTGCACACGCATCTGTACACGTCCGTACGTGCGTGAGTTTGTACGTCTGTGCGTCCGTGCGCACGTCTGTGCGTGCACATACACGGTGCATCGCGCACCAGCGCCGTGACACGTCCGGGACAGGGTGACACTCCTCGTCCGCCGAAGTGGAGCTTGAGAGCCACCTCCTCGGGACGATGTGAAGCACCATTAGCAGAGGCCACTTACGAACGCGCCCACCAAGAGACACAGTCCACCCGTGGAGCCGCGCGCATCGTCGGGGCGAGCGCTGCTCCGAGTGAGCGAGCGCTGCTACAATTCGAGTGCTGCTCTGAGCGAGCGCTGCTCCGAGCGTGCGAGTGCTGCTCTAAGCGAGCGCTGCTCCGAGTGTGCGAGTGCGTGTGTGCGTAGGCTGCTGTGAACCCTAAATGATGATGCTGGTGTGGACAATACAAGATTGTGCTGCGAAACATTTGACCGCTCGGAGATGACAATTAATTAAATCACGTACGGCGAGTGCTTGCTTTAAAGCGTGGCGGTGTTCACATGACAACGCGTGTTCACATGACAACGCGTGTTCGCTGCAATGCGGTTCTTCCATTTGGGAACACTTTTTGCACAATGCGGAACGCGCACCGTTATAACGCGGTTTCTGAGCGATGGATGACAAAACTACTTTCTTGAGCTGCGTGGCCGAGCGGTACAGCGATACAGTAACATGGAATGATACGGTAAGCAGGCGGCGTACCCTCAGTTATTTGTCCCGCCATTTCACTGCGTGTGCATAGCAGTCACGTGTGGTCAGGGGAGGCAGGGGAGGCAGAGCCTCACCCGTCATACTCCAATGAAAACAGCTGTTACTAAAAGGGGGCGTATCAGACACGCCCTCCTCAGCGAGGACACGCCCCCCTCAGTGTGTGAATCTGGCTCTGACACGAGCCAGTGCCTCCCCAGCCATTGACCTCACTGCACGTCACTGGTGCATAGTAGGAGTATATCGTAACTTGCCAAACTTATTACATCACTTGCTAAATGCGTTTTTTGCAGAACGCATCTACAACTAGCACGTTAATCGAGGACTTTCCGTACATCGTAGTAACGCAACGCCACATGAGAAAATCCCCACCCCCCCCCCATCTCTCCCCAGCCTCCCAGAGGTAAACCCACAAACCTCAAACCCTCCCCGCTACGCACCGGCAACAGCGCACTGTCGCCCATCCAGGCGCACTCAGCCCTAAATAAACCTTGCACCGTCACACGGTTCCTGCCACGCTTACGTCCCAGTTATCGCTCGCGACCTTTGAACCAACCATGGCCCCAAGGCAAGCCGATCAATTGCAGGCGTGTGCCACCGCACCAAATCACGTGATCCTTCCTGCAAGCCTGAGGGCTGAAACGTTCAGGATAAAAGTTGGAAAACAATTGACAATAAAAAAAGGCAAAGTGTTGGGAATGACAAAAACAAAGATGCCCTATATAGCCTTAACAGACTATTGGGGCAAGTGCTGTTAGCGAGCACCTACGAAAGGCCAGCACGACACGAGGGGTGGGTGGCCAGCACCACGCCGAAGTGGCCATGTTTACACACAGCATCAGGTACTAATTTCGGGCTGAGTCGACCTAGGGGAAGCCTAGGCTCAGATAATCGTCGCTGGTGTTGGCCGTGAGCGGGAATCGGAATCTGGTCGCCGGGTTCGTAGCGCGGTGCCCCAACCACTGCGCCACTGCTCCCCTCGTCGAGTGACTACGAGTGGCAGAGCGGCCTACGGGCAGCTCCGGGCTCAAGTGGCCCCCGAAGCCGACGTCGCTCCCCGCCTGGCCCTGGGCTCGGCACCATCCGTCACGACGGCAGCGGGCAGCCGAGCAGCCGGGGGAAGCCTCGAGAGAGCAGGGCCGGACTTAACGGACACCGCCACGGCCTACGGACCCCCCAGCGAGCGACGAGAGGTCGCATTTCCATCGACAACGGAGCTCCGCCAACAGAACGCATGGCGGCCGCGAGGCGTGACAGAGGGGCGGTGCCCACGGCGCACGACGTGCGTGTGGTGGGATGCATCCCCGCGCCACGCGGACAGGGGGGCCGCGAGCCTTACGCATGCAGCGCCGCCTCGGTCGAGATGGTAGCCCCCTCCACGTCCCCCTCCTCCAGCGGGGCGAGCTGGGGCAGGCGCAGCATCAGCACCGCGCCGCTCTCCGTGCCCGCGCACAGGCGGGCGCCGCCCGCCAGCACGCATGCGACCGTCACACGCACGCCGCTCGGAAACGCCCTGCTTGCACGCACATTCACACGGACGCAGAGGCAAAAATCCCCCGCAACGCCGTGACAGACTTTTGTGTAAATGCCATTAGCAAGCAGCACCTATGAAGGCTGGCAAAAGCCAGGCTGTTTTCGTCTCCCCCGTGCTGATGTTTCCACAGCACATTTAAGGTTTAATCGACCCGGAGGAAACACAGGACTGGTTCAGATATTCGTCACTGGTGCTGGTGGCCGCGAGCAGGAATCCAACTGGGGCCACCGGGTTCCTCGAGCAGCGCGATGATCTACGACAGTCGGCAAAACGGTCGACGCGGATTTGTATGCATGTTGAACTTCCTTCACACCGTACATAGCCAACCGTGCTAATCGAAGCTGCAGGGGGAAGGACAAACTTAACGTAAAAAGCAGTTCTAAATAAATTAGTTTTCAAGGGTCAACGATTTAAAAGTGCATAGCTCCAGTGGCTTCCTAATATTGGAAGAGGGTTTCAGACGGCCTCAGAAGTGCATCCGAAAGCGCACGATGCGGTGACCGTGTTTTGTTCGATGGCTAGCCAGAAGCCGCTGCGAAGGTGACCGGCGTACGTGCGATGGATTACGCTCCGGCGCATTCTCGTAGCGGCGACGCGTCGCGGATGTGCGGCGCCCGCGATCGGGAGGAACCTTACCCCGGGCGTGTGCTCAGCGTGAAGTCCCCCCTCTCCTGCAGCGCCGTGCAGTCCCCGCGCTCCACCAGCTCCCACAGGTGCAGCGAGTTGTCGTCGAGCAGCGACACGAGGAGGCCCTGCGCACCCTCGCCCCGCCCGGCAACGACTCTCCCGTCAGCCAACGAGCAAACTCGGTCAATACATTTTTGGGTACATCGATAGCCAATTATGACAAACGCTTTGTTTATCCGGCGTTTTACCATCTGGAATGCTCTATTAAACCGGCATAGGTTATAGACGGCAATTCAAATTTTCCTTCACGTTGTTCCGGAAATATTCCATCAGGCATCCGGCATCTTGCGTGCGCTTCTCGTAGCTCTGTTGTTGTTGTTTACGGGAACTTCAAAACGCTGCTGAGTGATGTCGCTAGCGGAAGTCTGTACGTACAGTACTCAACTTCTGTGTCCTATACTTTAAACGGATCCACTGCTTCTCTACAATCAACTTAGAATGCGCTACAACTGACTGGCGAGTATTCCTCTGTAAAAGAGAACATTGTTTCTTAAAGCAGTTGAAATGTAGGCTTAGTTTCTTTCTTGGGGGTGGGATGTGTCAGTAGTGTGGGTGGGTGGCCGGTGTGGATCAAGTGAATGTGTGGCTGGCTGCGTGGTGCCGTTCCGTGCCCGGCGTGGCCACTCCGCATCGCCACTCCGCACCTGCCCCGGCACGAAGTGGAGCTGTGTGACGGCGGTGGCCGTCTGGTGCTTCCCGCTGAGCACCACGCCAGGAGCTCCGCACCTGAGGGAGCCTCCGGTCAAGGAAAACCTCGCGCCGTGCACGGAGAAGTCTCTCCGATCGAGTGGGGTGCCGCGGTGGCGAGATGTCAACTACCTCGCCTGGTATACAGGTGGTCGTGGGTTCGACATATTCTACAGAAGCAAAATTTCACAAACGCTTATTGGATCAGGTACCCGTGCGTGTACATAACCTCAAGCTTGCAAGGAATGCTGCGCAACATTCAGAACTCCCATCAGCCCGAGCATCTTGAAAATTTTACTTTGCAATGGATGGTCGCTGTTATGAACCAGATAAACGTTCACATTTCACAAGTTTCCAGCAGAGCCCAAGAGTTCATTTTACCGAGGCCGCAGAACTGCTGTGACAGGATGGCTGCTGCGTGAAGCAGTTCTCCCTCGCAAAGTAAACACGGTGTTCAAGGGACTCTCACCTTCGTTTAAATTACATGAGCCCAACGACCTCGCAATGCTTCAGAATGGAATCCGATCGTATTTCACGCTGGGCAGACTAAATTAAACTCCACATCTCCGTTTCATGGCTCCCATCCTCACACGCAAACAGCTTTCTTCTTAAGTTTACATTTGTTGCGAGTCATTAAAAAAATGAAATCATTGTTGAAGTGATTTTCCCATGGCACAATTTTTACGTCTTAAGACGCATCGAGAGATGTCAAACTCGTGAGCAAAATGTGCATGACAGGAACGGTGCAAACTGCAGCCACCCCATTAACGCATTACCCATTAACGCGTTACCCGGCCACTTTGATTCCCTCGCCTGGTATGCAGGTTTGATCCATGACCCTGACGACGCCTATATATTTGGAGTTTGCATGTTCTCCCCTCATAGTCACAAGGATTTTTCTCTGGGTCCTCCGGTTTTCCCCTCCACATTTAAAATGGATGTGCATTTAGATTATTTGGCTGCTATAAATTTCCACATGATAAGCCACTTCGTTGAGCTATCATTTGTGGCCAGGTCGCTTCTGAGAAAGAGCGACATAGCTCAGTGGTAAAATAACATTGTTGAGTTCAGTTGATAATATTTTTTAAATCCACCAATGTTCAACTCAAGCTTCCTGCCCTTCCACCTCTGCGCAGCCCACATTTTTTATTTTCACCAACCGACAATGTTTGCGATTAGTAATGACCAAGGTGTCCTGTTCCACTGCTAATTTCCAGGAAAAATAATTATCGCCGGTCATTTGATACGCTTCAAGCTGGAACGTGGCTCTGTGATCCCGCGGATTAACCCTTTGTTAGGTGGCTACACGTAACCGTGACAAAAGGTTGCGGATAACTAAATTACTAAACTATTCTTTATTTTACCAGGTAAGGCCCGCTGAGCTATATAGCAAGGCAGCTTATTATTACATGGACATTTAGAGCGGTCAAATGCTCTAAACGCATGTTGATTCTAAACCTGGAGGGCAAAACCGGAGGACCCGAAGAAAAATCCACGTTTCCATGGCGAGAGAGATCGAACCCACGACCTCCTGCATACCAGGAGAGGGCGATAACATCTCCTGGGCCACCGTACATGGGGAGATGGCCCCGCGCCGGCCAGCCCACCACGTGGCAGGGAAACCTTCACAAAGACGAAGGCCCCCCGTATAGCCATAGCAGGCAGTTGGGGCAAGTGCTGTTTGCGAGAAGCACCTATAAGGACAGGGGGTGGCCAACACCACGCCCAGCCGCTTTTGTCTCCCTCCCCCCCCCAGTGGCGATGTTTACTACACATCGCACCAAGTACTCAATTGAGGTCCAGTCGACCTAGGGGAGGCCCAGGATCAGTTCAGGTAATTGTCACCTGTATCGGTGGCCGTGAGCGGGAATCGAACTCGGGTAGCCACCCCCGTGGGGCGGGTGGGAAGCAGCAATGCGCCAGAGCAGAGGTGGGAGTGCAGATGGGCAAATAAATAAATAAGCTACAGAGACGTTTCCATGGTTTACTTTACCCATCTTTGTGTGAAAAGAGGGGTGTGGTGGGGGGTGGGGGGGCCCTCAGTGAGACTTTAATTAATCCCTCTTTGCTTTATTAAGGGCAGGCATGCGGCGATTGTGAAAGGAGGAGACTTGAATAGGCTCGGCCGTTCAGGCTCGGTTAGGCGCCCACAATAGAGACGGCCATGACCAAGATTCCAGAACGTTCCACGTGTTTTCCCAGGCACACAGAACGCTCGCAGCCAAGCGCGGACCGGGGGTGACCACCGCAGGGGTGCCACCGTGGAGAGACGTTAACCACCTCGCCTGGTATCCATAAGGTCATGGGTTTGATCCCGACCCCGATGTCTGCTATATATTTAGAATTTGCACGTCTCCCTCCTGTGGTCACGTGGATTTTTCTCGTGTCCTCCGGTTTTTCCCCTCCACATTTAGAATCAACGTCACATGTTTAGAGTATTTGGCTCGTTGTGTATTTCCACGTGATGATAAGCCACTTAGTCGTTGGGCCATCATTTGTGAAAGCCAGGTCGCACCTGAAAAAGAGATGTGTAGCTCAGGGGGCCTAGCCTAGTAAAAAAGTAAATAAATAAAAATAACTGCCACCCCCCCCCCCCCCTTGACTCTTCTCCAAGCTGATAGCATGGGAGTTAAAGCAAGCATGCCCACTCTCGTGCGTGCAAGCGAGCGCGAGTCGTCAGACGGGCGCCCCCCCCCCCCCGGGCGCCCCCCCCCCCCTTTCTGCGTCTCGATGGTCAGGATAGGGGAGGCCTCAATGAATCACCGCAACGGCTCCGAGCGTGCAAACTCGGACGCGGTTTCTCCGCTCGCTTTGGGAGGCCGGCAGCCTGCGCTTGTGGCGGCTGGGGCGGCTGGGGCGGCTGGGGCGGCTGGGGCGGCTGGGGCGGCTGGGGCGGCTGGGGCGGCTGGGGCGGCTGGGGCGGCTGGGGCGGCTGGGGCGGCTGGGGCGGCTGGGGCGCTCTTTGCCGAGACAGTTTTGCACGAGGGGTCACAAGTTCAGCCTCCACAACGTTTACGAACGTTCCGATTTGTTTGTTTGTAGAGGCCAGAATGGCTGAGAATGACCTTGACTGAAAAGGCTATTTTCAGGCACCATTTAAACAATGTCAAAAGTCTCTGGAGAAGATGGAAACAGATCGCAAATCAGAAAATTCGTTGTTTTTTTAAGTCACTCTCACTTTTCCGCTTGTAACACATCACATGTACTTTAACAAATGCACAGAGAGTAAAAATACAAGCCTTCATTACTGAATGTCCACGTATGTACAGATGGTTGGCAATCATTCTGCCCCACAGCTGCCCATTATTTCGTTTGGGGAATTAAGAAAATTAAGAAGCTCGCCATCTGTTCTTAAGTGGAGTTTAACAACTTTTGAAATCAATCGGAGGAGGCCGTGCTCTTCGCTTGCCCCGGCGTCTCTCCACGACCCACCAACCCCACCTCCTGGCCCCACTGGGAGTCGGACGCGATAAGAGACAATTTCAGATATACCAGCACTTTGTCTTTTTACGGGAGTCCTAGATTAAAGGTCAAAGGGTACAGGAGCAGCTCCAGAACTGCTTCCTCGGCCAAAGCTGGCAGACGGGGCACGACTGAGTATTTGGCCTACTCTTCCACGTCTCACCACCGTGGCACCCCACCACCCAGCTAGCTCACGCCCAGACTTTTCTGGACCCATCTCTCGGCGCTTGTGTCAGCCGGGAAAGACATCGATAGCCAGTGGAGATGTGCAACTCGACGAACGACAATAACAAGTAAGCAGACAAGTACGATACTTTGTTTAAATAGTATTATATAGGATCGGACTTTACAGACACTGCAGGAAATGTAAATCAAAGGGAGTCATATGTCTTCAATATTATTCGGATTACGCAAAGCTGAAAATTCTTTCATCTGCTGTTGACGGAAGGATGCCATCAATATGGTATGATATGAAACACATGATATAATATCAACATCACGCGATGTATTTATGCTCACGCAGCAAGCAAAATAAATGCTTCTAAAAATTAAATTAGGCCGGGTGGCTCAGCGGCCGAGCGAGCGGCCCACAATCGGAAAGGTTGCGAGTTCACATCCCTGGTTGGGGGTTCACTCAGCTCTTCATCCTTCTGGGGTCGATAAAATAGGCACCACTTTGTAGGGACATCAACGGTGGTTGCCCTATGGATAAGGGTGATCAGCACAGCCTCCCCCTGCTTGCCGAGCCAGACGTGACCCTGACGTTTCTTTTTTAATATTCAGCAAACAAGATAACGTCTATAAATGTTTTTTTATTTTGCTTCTCAAATCCCAGGTCTGAGCTTGAATGCATAATAGTTAACCAGACTTGCAGCCAATTAACTCTATACGGAGATTCCAAACTTCAGTTTAATGCAGAGTATGTTTTCGTGACCAAAATGATCCATATAAAATGTTTTTTTGGGGGTTAAATCCTTTGAATAGAAAAGTGTTGTTAAACTCGCCGTCACCCAACACAGCCGATGAGTAAGGTTTGTCACGTAAACAGAACATGGCAATCAGTGACGACTTCAGCACACCGGCTGCGTGTTGGGGAGTAAACCCACAACATTTACAATTCGACTACTGTGCGTTTCTCTGGTGATTACAACCAGCCTCATCAGGCGTGCAGGGAAATGTGGATTTTATTTTGCCATGGTGCAAGTGGCCCAACCTTGGCCCCCTCACGAGAGGAGTCCCAAAGAGATAGAGTTGAGTTCACTGTTGTTGTTACACGGACGATGATCACCTTTAGCCGGTCGCGTGAGCAAAGCAGCAACAATACAAAGACAAATACGTCAATATTGCAGAGAATTTAACAAAGGTTCCTTAACGATGATTATTGCACAAATAACCAATGAGGTATTTGACTTAAATCAAATCGTAAAATGCATCTCCTCTTCCAAAAAAACCCCACACTTATGCAAGCCTTTCAGCTGTCATCAACTTCCATCAAGTGTTCTGGTCAATTCCCTTGAATATTACACAACTTATATTAAACTGCCACAAGAAAAATAACCCAGAGATGAGATTATATTGTTTTAAACCCTCAGTAAAACAAGCTAGCTTGAGAATCAGCACCGCACACTGTCGACGCCTGTGACAGACAGAGATGCACACTGGGCTGTGTTCCGGTCTTTGTTGATCTGTATTTTAACAAAAAAAACTAGCAAGGTTTTATTCCTGCAGCTTTCATTTCCTGATTGTTTTTGTTTTGGTAGGATTGCAAAGGCAACATTTAAAACAGGCATCCCTCGATTCAGAATCTTCGTGTGTTATTTTCACTGCAGGCCATATTTCTCTGCTGGGATTCTCTCTCTCTCTCTTCTCTTTGCCCGCGAATGTTTTCCTTTCGTGCAACGCCAACGTTTGTGTTGGCTCGAGCGCCAAAACCCACCCACCCAACTACCAGCATTGGCTTGAGATCGGCAAAGTCAATAAGCAGGCGAGTGAAGCTCGAGACCGCAAGGCAAGTTGAAGGATTGGAAGAGTTCTGCTTTGGAGCCAACACACACACACAGCTGCTTGCTGCTGCTGCCTATGCTCAGGCCTTGGAGTGCATTTCACAGATGGAATTTTATTAACAGGGTCCCGACGCCAAGCCAGAGGATTTGTCTGACCCGTCGCTGCTACAGCCGTCTTTAAGAATATCCGGATAACTCCGATATTGTATTTAACATCAAAAAGGGTGACCGCGTTGGCTAAAGCAAGCCCCGATACCCCGGGTCAAAGAAGTGAACGAGTACGACCGACATTCCAGGTTTAGCTGAAGACCCAAGTTCAAATGGCTGGAATCAGCTTGGCCAAGGATGATTGTAAAGAAAGAACCATCGGACTTGGTTTTGATTCACTTTGTCCTTGCTCAGCGCTGACAGCAAGTTCAGGAATACCTCCAACTCTCTCCTCTATCTTTCTACATCTCCTCTCTCTCTCTCCATGTTATTTGCATTACTGTATCATTCCACGTATTGTATCACTGTACCGCTCAGCCACGCAGCTGAATTTGTTCGTCATCGACTGATCAGCAGCCGCATTATAACGCGTTCCGCATTGCAACGGTGTGCGGTCCGCGTTCGTGAAAAGTGTTCCCCCCCCCTTACGGGAGGAGAACCGCGTCACGGTGACAACGCGTCGTGGACGCCGTGAGCGAGGGGACCTCGAGGCTGGGACCTGGTAACGACGGGAAACTTACTGCTGCCAGAACCCCCCCTCCCCCAACTCCGTGTCTCAGCGGAGGCGGCGGCGCAAGGATACAGCTTGAGGGCGCCCGTCTTGGTGCCGATGGCCATGAGGCGCAGGCACGGGTCGTAGGCCAGGGCGCTGGGCTGGCTCGGGAAGCCGTGCTGCATCGTCTGTGGACACACGGCGACGGGGCGCGACCTTCGTGAAGCGGAGGATGAGAGCTGGGCACGCCACGATTATTTAATCGGCAGGAAGTCACGGATTTGTGCAATTCAGAATCGGTATCTGTATTTAGACTGCGGGATGAGGAGGAAGAATCCAATGAGCTATGAAGCGCTTTCTCACAGATGTCCAATAGGGGCAGTTGGTCGATAAGTTAACAACACAAATACACATCAACAACTAGAGTCTCATTTGTACTTCTATGCATTATGTATATTTATTACTTTTAGTGAGTTGCCTTTTCTCTATCTTGCTCCTCTATCGTTTTTTTGTATGGTTTGTTGTTGGAACTTGCTGACCATTCACCCCGACTTGACGTGTGACAAAGAGCTTTATAGCTCATCGGATTCCACCTCCAGTCTAAATAGAGATTCTGATTTAAGGAATCGATTTCTCCAACGAGCGTCAGTTCAATTTACACGACCAAATCGGATAACACAAAAATCTCACCTCTCATCACGTGTGCCGCTGGACGGGAGGTGATGGGCGGGAATGGACTACATGCAATCACCGCGACTCAGAAAATGGACCACGACAAGAAACTGATTGCAATTTTTTGTAGATGATTTTACTTGGACGAACGGTCACAACTCCTGGGTCAAGAAAACGCCCTGGTGGTGACGTTAATGCCTCGCTGGCCACGGTGGTTAGGAGATGTTAACTCGCCCGGCATACAGGCCCTGGTGCGTTCGATCCCAACCCTAGCCACTGCTAACATCGGTGACGAGTGAAATCCGAACCAGTCCCGATGCATCCAGCCACCACCTAACCCATTCGGCAACCTGAAATGAGCAGTGCGATGAAAAATGGGCAGGCCTTCATGTGGCAGTGGATTGACTAAGAGCTGTGAAGTATTACTTGTGATATTAAAGCACAACTTGTGATATGACAGCACAATACTGCCATCGACCGAGTCGACCCCCTGCGTTGACCGTCCCAGGGCTCTTGTTAATAAAAGCTGCTTTGTAATGGCCAGGGGGCAAGCAACCAAAGAGGAGCCATTTAATAAAACAACAATATTGCAACGGCCACAATGCATGCGAACAAGAGACGGCGGGTCCTTAATAAATCACGTCACGAAGCGGTCTCCTTAAAGAGCTGCGTGCGGGTCCGGGTCCGGAGCCGCAGGCTGCCGACCCCTCTCTGTCACGGGGAGCTCAGCTGTGGGCGGCTTTAATGCCGTGCAGCGACGTATTTGAAACGTCGCCCGTGGCAGCGGAAGCGCGACGGGTTTGCCGTCGTCTCCGGAGTCTCCGACGCGTTTTGATCTTCCGTTTTAACAACATACATGACGCACTTCGGACAATCCACCGCCCCCCCCCCCCCCCCAACGGGCAAGCTGGGCATCGATCTCGCAATGATGGCTCCGCGGTTAGTGAGCGGGTGGGCTGACCCCGAGGCTAGCGGCTGCCCGTCACCTCACGCTCCACGTGACCCGCACGCCGCGAACGGAGTGCGTCCGTGTGAGGAGCACGTGGGCTGCGCTTGCGCCGCTAATAGGAGGGCAGGGATGGTTTACTCCCGGAATCGTAAACCATGGGACGACAACGGCGTTACTCTTACACAGCAGACCAAACACCGGAGCACTTAACCTCCCAATGGAGTCCCAGTCACATTGCACGGCCATTCGCTTCATCACAGTTTGTTCTTCATTTTATTAGCATTATGGAGCGACTCATGCAGCCAGCTATGGCTGCAAAGTTTGGTCGTACATGTTATGTATATCGTTAATTGTTAAATTTGAATCACAGTTCCTATGATTACTGTTACATTGTTTTTATTGTTTTATTTTGGTGATTTTGAAAACGTTTTGGTTTTGCCATGTTTGTTTGTTGTAGTACAGAGTTAGCCTGATAACTTTAATCTAAATTGTCTTATGGTTGTTATTGTTTGACTTACATCCCACTGGGATTTTTCACGCAGCGTTGATATACGGTGTTTTTTCTGGAAGACTTTGCCGTTTTTTCCTGAATTTTTCTGTTGTGTGTAGTCACTTTAAGATGATCTTTGTTCATATTTTTGTTTGTTGCGGTTGCACCCGAGTCAAGAGCCGCATGGCTCACAGGGTTATACCTAATAAATTAAACTGAAATTTCGAGTGTAGTTGTCATTCATATTGTTATTATGAGCTTTCTATTATGTTTAGATTAAATCTATACTCGTGAGCGTAGTTTTTTTTTACGTACAGTGCTTTGAGATATTTTGATATGAAAGGAGCTTTATAAAATAAAGGTTATTATTATTCAGTCAATATGCCACTGGCCACTTTGAGATAACGACGGTTTTCTCTGCGTTGCCACATTCAATGTGCCCCCAATGCGGGCTGGGGCCCATCACCCGGCTGGTGATGTACAGTGAACACGCAGCACACACAACTAGACTCGAGGGGCTCGAGTGAACAACCTAAACACCGTACACTGTGGACTTTAGCCATTTTTGAAGTGAGATAAGAGTAACACGATATCGTACTTTACGTAACGCGGGATGAGTGAGCCGAGAGAGAAATGAGGCAAGGACATCTGTGTGAGCCTTAGATACCTTCTGGCAAGCACGGTCACGTGCTTCTAGTGCTGTAGTGTTACCCGAGCGACCATTATCAGGTGATGTATTTTTTTAGGAGTTAAAGATCCCCCGTATAGCCTTAAGACTTTTAGGGCAAGTGCTGTTAATGAGAAACACCTATGAAGACCGGCACGGCACACGAGGGGGCGGGTGGCCAGCACCACACCCGACTGCCTTTGTCTCCCCTGTGGCGATGTTTACATACTGCACCAGGTACCCATTTCAGGCTGAGTCGACCTCGGGAAAGCCCAGGACCGGTTTAGATAATCGTCACCGATGTTGGCCATGAGCGGGAATCTAACCCGGGTCGCAAGGTTCCAGCTGCAGCGCGCCACCCGCGACACCGCAGATACATTCGTACAAACACAATCACTAGCATCGTCGTGGAGAATGTAAGTAACAAAGTGATCATGCAGATTACATGGCTCCTTCATATATCATCTCTTCACGTTTTTATGTAACCCATCAGCCACAGCATTTTGGGAGTGGATAATTTCAGCAGCAATGATTCAGTACAAGCAGACTCTGGACTGGCTTCGACATCCATTGTTTCTTCAGTAGAGTCGGGGCTTGCTTTGCATCAGTGCTCGTCAACTGAAGGATGTCACAAATGTGGCGAATCAGAAAGTTATTTCAGGCCGAGCTTCTACAACCCTGGGAGAAACTCACGATAAGTATCTTGGGGGCACCCCAGAGCTGGATTAGGGGATGCCATAGCAGAACAGTAAACAGAAAATACAAACAGGGAGACAATGTCTTCTTGGTTCTTTCGGTAAAGTCACGTAGAAGGGAAGTAATAAAATAATAAAAATAAAACATAATAAAACAATTCTCACGACGTTTCGGCCATAACGCAAGCAGCCGTCCTCAGGTGAAAACCAGGTCCGTCGAGGCGAAAGAGTCTGAATGAAACAGCACACGAGCTTGGAGCATATATATAAGCTGGGCGCATTGACAAAGGAATTTGCATATCAAAAGGAATTTAGCATATTTATGGGAAATGCAGGAATGTGATTAGTACTGCATATGCATGTGCATTATGCAGGATTAACAGCATCAAAGGGAGCTGCAGTTACTGCTGCTGCAGCAGTTGCTGCTGCTGCTGCAGTTTCTGCTGCTGCTGCAGTTGCTGCTGCTGCTGCTGCTGCAGTTGCTGCTGCTGCACTTGCTGCTGCTGCTGCACTTGCTGCTGCTGCAGTTGCTGCCTTATCCATTTTAATATAACACTATGTATTATTCTACCCACCCTAATGTGTATCATACTGCTATATGTTTACTATACAATTACGACACCATACATTACTCTGCACACTGCACCATGCCAGTGAGTGGAACGTGGTCTGAAAGTCACCGTAAACGTGAACACAATCAGTTAAGATCCGAAATGGTTTATTACGTCCTTCCAATGATTGCTAAGCCAGAATCCATCTTCTCGGTTGAAATTGTCTCTGTGTTTGTATATGTGGATCGCCTCATGAACGAATCTCTCATGATAGCCAGATGGCTTGCAGAGAACCTCTGTCTTGGAGAAGTCAATGTCATGTGAGCCCACTGAATTGTAACAGTGATCTGCCACGGCTGAGGTGTTTGTCCTACCGTGTTTCAGGTCTGCCTTATGTTCACGGATGCGGTCCGAGACATGTCGTTTGGTTTCTCCAATGTAACTGCTACCACAGAGGCAACTTAGTTTGTAGACGCCAGGGTACTGTATGTCTGGAACCACATCTTTTACAGACGGGACCAGATCACGGATTTTATGTACTGTGTTGAATCGGACCTGGATCTTGTGTTTAATCAGGATTTTGGAGATCTTTTTTGTGACCCCAGCAATGTAGGGTAAGGTGATGGTCTTGAAAGGCTCCTCAACAGGATCCTTCTTGATGGTTGGAGTGATGGCTTTGCGGATTGTGTAGTCGGAGTAACCATTAGCCTTAAGAGCTTGGCGTACGTGTTTGAGTTCACTGGAAATGTGTTCATGGTCGGAGATGCATTGGGCTCTATGATATAGAGTCTTGATGAGGGAATTCTTCTGGGATGGATGGTGGTGGGAATCCGGTTTTAGATAAGCATCCGTGTGGGTGGCTTTCCTGTAGACAGAGTGGCTCATTGAACCATCAGGTCTCCTTTTGATTAGGACATCCAAAAAGGGTAGCTTGCCATCATTTTCGACTTCCATGGTGAATCTGATGGCTGGGTGTAGGGAGACAATGGTCAATTTCATTGGATTAATACTGCTGATTAAATCAGGAATGGATGGCAACTGGACGTGTGAATGAGAGTTTGTATGGATAAAAAGATCCCGCTATAGCCTTTACCAGATTGTTGGGGCAAGTGCCATTAGCGACCACCTATGAAGGCCGGCACGGCACACTAGGGGGTGGGTGGCCAACACCACGCCCGGCCGCCTTTGTCTTCCCAGTGGTGATGAATCTGTATATGTTACATTTCTTTCGCACCATAAGTAGCCAACCACATTAATCCGAGGTGCGGGGGAAGGACAACAATGTAAACACAGGGTCGGGATCGAACTCATGTACTCCTACGTACCAGGCTAACACTCGCGTGCATTTTGGCTGGCAGAAATCTTCCTCGTGTAAAAAAAAAGTTATTGGGAGGCCAAGATTGATCGACTGGCAGCTCAGGAAATGCTTGAGCTATTTTCAGTGTCAACCTCTCACCCCGACTGCCCATCCCCCACCCCCCCAAGGCGCTCCTTCCTCCAACACTTCACATCTGCCACGCTAATCGTGACAGCAGCGAGGCACATACAACTTCAAGTTGCCAACAAAAACTAAAAAAATTAGTTTTACCAGGTAAGGCTCACGGAGCTATATAGCTCCTTTTCAGAAGTGACCTGAATACAAATAATAGCTCAACAAAGTTGCTTATCATTTGGAAATCTATAGCAGCCAAATACTCTAAACGAATGTTCATTCTAAATATAAAAGGAAAAATCGGAGGACATGGAGAAAAATCCACACGACCACGGGGAAAGAGACACGCAAACTCCAAATATACAAGCGTGAGGGTCGGGATCGTGTTCACGACCACCTGCATGCTAGGCAAGGGAGCTAACATCGTAGAGTGGTGTCGTGCAGCACTCGCCTTCTTGAAGGCGATGAGCTCACTGCGCGCTCGGTCGCGCTGAGCATCGTGGCTCTGCCGACGGAACCGGAACTTCATCATGGTGGCGGTACCTGCAGCACACGCACGCACACACAGGCACACACACAGTCACGCACGCATGCAGGGTCACGCACGCAGTCTGGCCGGGTCAGGGGTGATCCGGTCACACGTCCACACCTGACAAATGGGAGGGGCCATGCATGGCACACTTTTATACCGCGTCCGTTAGCGCAGCGTCCACGATATACTCTTATGTAAGCGCGCAACTTTATCTATCTGTGATGAACGCTGCACTTGACGTAGTTTTCATGCAGGGGGCGCTGCAAACCTCCACACCCCCTGCATGAACGACGGAGGCGAAGGGAAAGACGTTCGATTACGTTGGAATCGATCTACAGACGGCGGTCTTCTTGCACGGCCAGCAGCTCTAATGTCGCCTTATCTCGATCCCGCAATCCCACACAGGTGAAAGTCCGCATCGAACTGAACCCCCAGCAAGGCCATCCACTTAACGACGAGAGAAAATTCACACGAAATGTCGTTTTCAATAAAGTCTTCCAGATGTAAAATGATATAAGCTTTTAATGAAGAAATACAATTATCTAATTCAAAACATAATACAATTCAAAGATGTTTCATTTTAAAACTTCGAAACAGAGCATCGGCTGCTTGCGTGAATGCGTCGTCCGTGTGCAATTATTTTCGTGACTTTCCTGGCCCAAGGCCGTAAATGGTTGTGAGGGGCGCTGCAGGTGCCCCAGAACAACCCCTAGTTCATAATACACAAACAACTTCGGACACAATTTCATAAGTTATTATGCATTGCCACGACGCGTTATGGGTAAAAGCAAATAGCAGAAAAACATAATTTGCCTCCATGGAACACGTGTCTTAGTCCATCCGCCTAGTGACTATTCAGACCCAAATGTTATGCAGCAGCATTTGTTTAAGCGAGCAAACGACGGACCGGTTTTGACCTTCTGGGTCTCATCAGCAGTCAGCCTTGTTAGTTCAATGTTAATGTGCCATTTTATTGAGGGACTGTGTGTTGTCTTGGTGTGGTCTGGGACTGGTTTTGTTGTTTTTGCTCCCTTGCCCTAGCTTACATTTGCTGTTCAAATGTGTATATAAAGTATTTAAATTATTTTATTTACGACCAAAAACCCCCCAATGAGTCTCAAAAGACACACAACTTGCGTGTAACGTGTAACCCTGGTTACACATTATTCCCTTCACATCCGCATCCCATGAACTCTGACCCCAGGGACCGTCACCAGCACCAGGCAGCAGGCCACAGAAGACTCACAAAAAACATTACAGCTGGGGGGGGAGGGAGGTGAAGGGGAGGGGTTAAAGCAAGAGGGGGGGGGGGTGAAGAAATACTCCAACCGTCGGCATTGGCACTGAACCCAGACCAGCAGCCGCCTGCCACAGTGCCCCATCTGCCTTAATCACCCTGGGCCGTGAGGATTTACAACCAACTTGGGCATTAGCCCACTCGGTGACCCGGCCACCTCGGATTGAGATTGTCTCCCGACTCCGTGTCCACGCCGTCGACTTAAATTTGTACGCTGACGTACGGAATGGTACGTCGGGGCGACGAGCTTCCAACTGCATGACAGCTGTGGGAGCTGTGGGAACTGGGATCTGGGAGATCCGTGGGACCCGTAGAAACTGTGGGATCTGTGGGATCCGGAGCTAGCGATGTGGGGATGTTACGGCATCGACTACGCAAGGCACGATGGCATCTTCCTCTCTTTTGGCCATCGGACAACAAAGACGGTCACTGCATCGCGCGCATTCAGATGCTCTTCTGCGGGCGTCTGGAATGCTCTTCTGCTATTAGGAAGCCACTGGAGCTATGCACTTTTAAATCATCATCTACATTGAAAACTCATTTTTTTACAACTCATTTTTGTGTTTAGTTTGTCGTCCTTCCCTCGCACCTCCGATGAGCAGGGTTGGCTACGCATGGTGCCAAAGAAGTTCAACACACACAACACAGTCATACATTTGGAATGGCCACAGGCTACGTATCAGAAGCACGTGCGGAGAGGTGGGACAATACTGTGCCGAGCTAGTTCCACACACACAGAGGGCCACCCATGAGGGCACGCTCATATCTGATCATTTTTATCTTGTATAGATTTATGAAGGAGGGGTAGTGATAGGGGGTAGTAGTGATATGGGTATGGGGAAGTGTTAGGGGTAGTAGTGATAGGGGTTGGGTAGTGTTAGGGGTAGTAGTGATAGGGGTTGGGTAGTGTTAGGGGTAGTAGTGATAGGGGTTGGGTAGTGACGGGTTGGAGTAGTGACAGTGGTTGGGGTAGGCCTGGTGGTAGCTGGGAGGCAGAGTAGCAGCAGCAGTAGCAGGATGGGCTAGGGGAGAAGAGATGGGGTTGCGTTCAGGAAGCAATGGAAGCTGCAGGGCTAGGGAGGCACGATGGGACAGAGTACTCAGATGGAAGAAAAGCAAGCCCGGGTGGGGCAAGACCATGGATGGATTTATAGACCCGAGTGAGAAATATAACACATTATAAGTAACGGGGAGAAATGAGATTCCCCGGCTGTGAACAGAGAGCAGTGTGGAGACGGTGAAGACATCGCACGGCCATGCTGCACACGGGGGGAGCAGCGAGAGAGTCCACGGCGAGATTGTGGCCAGTTAAGAGAGAGGGGGGGACGATTGTTGGGACAAACGGAGCAGAGTGCAGAGTGCTGAAGGAATGAGCGCAGGGTTGAGCGCACCTGTGAACAATTAACCGAACGTTGTCATGACGGCAACTTCTACTCGGCTGATGCGATGACGTTAATTCGTGTTCCTGTTGAGTACGGTTATCATGGTTGGCCTTACTGAAGGTTGCCACGGCTGAAAAGATCACCCCCGTGAGTCGTTGGGCACTACCGCCCAGCAATCAAACCAAACCTAAACACGTGGGAGCCTTTGTGGCACACATCTGCCATCCAAAGCGCCATCATCACATGAATACTCATCAACATAACCAAAGACAATTCTATACTACGGTGAGAGACAGAAACAAATACATACTATTTGTAGTTTAATTAATCCACAAGCGGAAATGCAGAGATAGTCCGACGTGCAATTGCGGAGATGGCTGACGAGGCCATCAACCAACTCTGGGGATCTACGGAGGGAGGACATCCAACGGAGGCATTGAAGCAATCCACACCGCACATCAACCCACGCCATTTCCTGTAGAGCATTTAGATTTATTTATAAATCCTTTATATTAAGTTCACTTGCTTGCTTGCGCGCTTACGACCGTGCAAATCTTTCGGTCGTTTTTAACCCACTTCCCGCGATCCAATCGAGCTGACATTTTGCACACAGACTCGTTGTGCGTGACAATTTATTTTCGTGAAAAAAAATTCCAAAATTTTCCACTTTTTAGGAAAAGATTAATTTCATATTTAATTTAAAATACCAATGTGATAAAAATGAAACTCTTACTCAAGAAAAACAGAAATGAATAATAAAATAAAACCGATGCCACGCATATAAAGGATTTATAGTGAAAAACTTTGTTTTTACGGGTAAATTTTTTCTCTATCCATTTTAGTGACTTGCTTACCTGTCCTCTATTGTACACTCCTAGCCTGTATTTGGTATATGTTGTTGTTGTAACTTGCTGACCAAGCGGCTCGACTGGACATCTGCAAAGAGCTTCAAAGCTCATCGGATTCCTCCTGCTGCTGCTGCTGCCGCAGTCTCAATACAGATGCTGACTCTGTTGCAATCCATCCGGCCATACACATCAACAACGACGACAATGATGACAAGATGATTGCAACGATGAATGTTGAGGCAGTGAAAAGTAACGCGGTGCCACGTTCAACCTAATACGACACACACACACTGCTGCACTGTCTACACCACCCCTGACTCAGCAAGCAACTGTTGTGGAAGCAGACGTGGCAATCGTCAGGAGGCTCGTGAAGGACGCTGCTGCTGCTGGGCAGTGGGAGGCGGTCGCCTTCCAGCAGCAACAGCGGAGGGCGGAGAAGCGACGCTCACAACAACGAGCGGAGCGCCGGGTGACTTCAACGCAGCGAGTTGGCACAGATGGGGGGGGGGGGGGGGGGCACAGGTGGCGCATCTGTCAGTCGTCTCAGTCTGTTACCGCATGGGCACCTGCAGGTTCTGCCCCGTGACCTCCTGCCGACAGCGAGCCTTCGACTCTTCACGTGGCCTTAAAGTGCACCCTGCCTGGCACGAGCGCCGTGGAGACGTCACCGCCATTTAGTGGCGAATGGGTGTTGTTGTTGTTGTTGTCCAGAAACAGTCCACTCGGTAGGGCAATGCGATACGTGTGTATGTACTGAATGTGAGCTTCTTTCGCACCGTACGTAGCGCCAACCGTGCCAATCGGAGACGCGGCGCGTGCGTAGCGCAGCTTCGCGTCAGCTGTGGTCAGCTCAGCCAACAACGCAACGCCGATGGATGTGCAGCAGCAGCAGCAGCCGCAGCAGGATTTGACATGGGAGTTGTATCATACGAGGCACCACCTCAACACGGATACGGGGATTCGGCATTGCAGACGACAGCGTCAACAACGCCACGTGTCTCTCCTCCTCCTCTTCCGGAGGGACACGTGGCGTGTTGACACAGCGCACGGGGCCGTCACGGAGACGACGTCTCGCCACTGACGATGATGCAGAGCGGACAGAGCGCCGACCGGTTGCAGCAAAAATATATTGTGGTATTTTATATTCGTAGAAACAATGAATAGGCTTCACCCTTTCCGGCAATAGGCTAAAGCCTATTCGTTTTTATTATCAACTTGATACTGGCAATAAAGGTCCCAGAGAGATGTCATTCCCGCTGAGTTGGCAACGTGAATCAATGTCAGTTTTGGCGATTTTCCCGATTCGTCCGTGCTAAAGGCCCCAGTCGCAGTACAATTTCATCAAACTGGCAATAATACAAATGGAATACATCAACGCGGACAGTATCTCCTTCCTCGACTCCCCTTATGGCTTGTGTTTTGCTGTGATATTCATGTCATCTCAATACAGCAGTTCCTTGTTACAAATGGTTTGGATGATTTTTAAAAAATTGTTTCCAAGTAGGCAACTTGGATTTCAAGTTCGCCTTGACGGCTGCTTCGTTGTTCACAATATAAACGTTCATGGTTTGCAAAAAGCTTGGCGCACTGATGCTTGATATTAGTTTATCTTTTGTATAATCATACGGATAGGGGGGCCACCCATGGAGTAGGTGCGCAAAGATCCGTCACCTTGACCCCCCCCCGTCCCTGTCGGCACGCGGACCTCTCAGCCCCCCCCCGAATCCTATAGAACGGCCGATATTTAATCCACGCAGGAACGATCAAGGATGGATACTATTGACGTGTTGAAGCAAACAGACAGGCCACCGCCGCCGGACTATCTCGCTCATTTGAAGTCCAATGTAGACAAATTATTGTCGAGGCTTCACACCCCCCCCCCCCCCCACGTTTCCCATGCGCACATTGTCAGTAGACCCCCCCCCCCCCATACGCAAGCGAACGCGTTGGGTTACCCCCCCCCACGTCCCCTCTCCACGCGTACTCAATGCATGGCCCCCCATAGGTAGGCGCCCGAGTCAATGGCTAAAGCGGAATCTCGACCTCGTATGCTCGTGCTGCCGATTCACCTTCACAATTTACATCTCTCCGTCCCGTACCCAGCCTTCGTGAATAATGTGAAATAGGCGACTGAGGGGCCTAATTCTTCCGTTTTTAACAGAGGAATGAACAATCATCCCCCGATTAAAGTACAGTATTTCAGTCTTCCGCAAACGTTTGCAAAATGTGACTGATAATGTTGTTTCAGCAGCTGGCCTTACTCTGATCACGTCCACGGAGATTCTGCTTGGCCCTGCTGTATCTCTCCCCTTGCCCTTTGCAGAATGGATGTGTTGACTGGAACAACATCATCATCCTCATACTTATGAGAAATGACTTTTATCCTACTGAATGTAAATCTATATTCTTTAGGTCTTTCAGTAGTCAAGTAGAGGGGTTCAAAGAAAATAACAAAAACTCAGACGTTTCGATCGCAACACTTGTGTTGAGATCAGGACGACCGCTTGTGTTGCGATCGTAACACGTCGTAGTTTTTGTTATTTTCTTTCAACCCCTCTACGTGACTTTACCGAAAGACCCAAATAATAGGAATCCCTGCAGTCACGAAAGCTTTAAGCCAAGAAGAATGTAAATCTGTTACTGCAGTGAGCTGCATACAATGTGTCCACCAGCACAGAAATGTACTTTTGCTACTTTCATGCTTTCAATATTCACTATGATGATATGATAAACTCATATTTTCTGATTTGAAGTAGTTTTTCCTCATGTTTTTACAGCATTGTTTGTTTATTGTTTGGAGTTCTAAATCATATTTATTACCTCCCCTTTGCTTTCCGATGTGTTGTGGTTGGTTTCACCAGACCGTTTCATTTCTCGTTTGCTTTCGACTTTGCTCTGTTGCACCCTCAGCAATGCTGGCTATTTCATTATTTACCAATTATATCAAGAAAAGTAGAACTCGAGTAAAAACATGAGCAAAATACAAGCCACGCGCAACAATGTTATCCAAATAAAACGTTGAGAGCAAAAGACTGGGAAAAGACAACATCATTTACCGAGGGCAATGTCTCAAATCAGATTGACTTCACAATGATGAGCCACAGCACAGGAGGCGCAAGATTGAGAGGGATTCGTCCGCGGGGTTTCCCAAACTCCACCACGATATCTTTCCGCGCTTAATAATTTACTCCCACATTCAAATAAAGACTGTGCTGGTTAACTCGTGTCACGCTGCACGCGCTTGGTGATTGTTAAACACGTGGCGCGCTAAGCAATCAACGCCGTCTGCGTCACCTGGAACACGTGACGCACGCACGTGAGCACACACAGGCGGGCACACGCACGTGCACACACACGCAGGCGGGCACACACACACACGCAGGCGGGCACACGCACACACGCAGGCGGGCACACGCACACACACACAGGCGGGCACACACACACACACGCACGCAGGCGGGCACACACACACACGCAGGCGGGCACACACGCACACACAGGCGGGCACACGCACGTGCACACACACACACAGGCGGGCACACACACACACGCGGGCACACACACACAGGGACGCACGTCTCAATATGAATCGACTATTAGCGCAGACATCGTTAATTGCTTGACGCGCCACGTGGGACGTGTTGAACAATAATCGGGCGCGTGTAGCGTGGAACGAGTTAATTTGTATTTGATGGGGAATAAATTGTTAAACGCTGAATGACGTAGGCGTGGTTGGGAGGTCGCGAGAGCTGGAGTTTGTGAAACCTTGACTTCGGGAAAACGCTATACTATGTAGAAGCGATATTATTGTAGCTACACATCACGTGCCTACTCCAGTCTACAAGCGACTCGGAAACCTTTGAGGCAGAAAACGATCCCGAATTCTACATCAAAGAGTGGAGGCTTCAATCGATCCCTAATTCTACATAAAAGAGTGGAGTCTTCAATCAACGCACATTCGATAGTTCGAATGTGGATAGTTAACCATTTTAAACGCAATTTTATCGGGAGACTGTTTTTGTCTTGGTATGGTCTGGGACTGTGGTTTTGCCGCTTTGCCCAAACTTTCACTTCAGGTTAAAAAATCGGCAGGAATTTATTCACTTTTACAATTTGTACTAATATACTGGTTTTAAAAAAATGTTAGTGACTTGCTGACCTTTCCTCGACTTTGCACCCTGATCGTTGTTTCTATTCACTCGCCGACCCACCCCACACGTGGAACGAGCTTCATAGCTCATCGGATTCCTCCTCCAGTCGAAATAGTCCGATTCTAACTCTGAACATTGCTTAGTTGTGACTCATGGATCAGACGACTCACACACTGACCAATGTCATCGAAAGCTGAAAAGTGCACAGAGCAGCGTGGAGAGAGAACGCTTGAATTCACCCCGAGACCTCGCACAGATGACAGATCGGCTTTGTGCGTTTAGTTTGCGGTCCTTCCCTCGCACGGTTATCTGCGTACGGTGCGGGAGAAGCTCAACGCACATACACAGATCCATGAGCAAATATAAATATGACATCATATGTACTTGTAAGCAAAGTGAAGTTGGCCAGGACATATCGCTTAGAATGATTGAAGGCTGATTTATGACGCCGATGACTAGTCGGCAGCCAAAGAGAAGATATGACCACCGCAAAGGACGTATCGATGAGATCGGTAAATGTGCAGCAGTGAGACCGGTTGCTGGCTCTACGCACTCCAGCGTGGCGAGGGGGGAGGCCTTCATCTAGCAGTGGATAGCCCATGGCTGGCGACGACGAGTACATGGAAGAGCAGCGTAGCGACGCGTCTGTGCAACGGACCGAGTGGCACGCACGGCGGCGGCGGCGAGCGCTGCCGCCGTGCGTGGTGATGGTCGTGGTGATGGTCGCGGTGATGGTGGCGATGGTGGTGGTGATGGTGGTGACGGTGGTGGCGGCCACCGACACGCGGACGAGTCGCCGCGCGTCTCTCGCGCTCCGCTCCTCCTCGGAGGAGAAGAGGGGAGGAGAGGCCCCCACCACCTCCACCACCACCACCACCCCCACCACCACCACCGCTACACTGGGGCGTACAGCAAGCAATTGCGGGGTTGAGCATTTTTGCTGTTGTCGCTGTAAACCATTTAGTAGACAACGGGAACTCCACCAGAGCGACTTGCCTTCAAAAACTCTGCCGGTTTTATAATTCTGTACTCCAAATGAAACGCTGGATGGGTCGGTGACATCAGCAAACATCGCCAGCAATAAATCTGCACGACCACCGGGTACCCCCCCGCCCCCTCCGTGTGATGGTGGCGACTGCTCCGACCGCGGCGTGGAGCCGATGCTCCATCCACTGCTGGATGAGACGCGGGGCGAGATGTAGATGTGGGGCGAGATGTAGATGTGGGCACTCACGGAGACGCGGGGCTCCCGGCGTTGCGGCGACCCCGGGGGAGGCGGCGAGGTGGAGGTGGAGGAGGAGGTGGTGGAGGAGGAGGTGGTGGTGGAGGAGGTGGTGGTGGCTTGGGGTTAGTCCCGATTGCGGCTGCTAAACTTGCGCTGCGCGGTGACGGAGAGAGCGAGATGAACGCTGCTGCTGCTGCTTTGGCTGAGATAACAAAGACGTGAGCGAGCAATCTCTCTCTTGCTCTCACCCTCTCACCCTCGCTCTGTGCCCTCCCTCTCACAATCTCTCTCTTGCTCTCACCCTCTCTCCCTCTCTCTGCCCTCCCTCTCACAATCTCTCTCTTGCTCTCACCCTCTCACCCTCGCTCTGTGCCCTCCCTCTCACAATCTCTCTCTTGCTCTCACCCTCTCTCCCTCTCTCTGCCCTCCCTCTCACAATCTCTCTCTTGCTCTCACCCTCTCACCCTCGCTCTGTGCCCTCCCTCTCACAATCTCTCTCTTGCTCTCACCCTCTCTCCCTCTCTCTGCCCTCCCTCTCACAATCTCTCTCTTGCTCTCACCCTCTCACCCTCGCTCTGTGCCCTCCCTCCCTCCCCCACGCATTCCCCTCCCACTCCCTCCCGCTCCTCCCTCTCCCGATCCGCTCACTCCCACTCCTCTCTCTCACTCCCGCACTCAATTCCACTCTCACTGCCGAAACTTTCCTCTGCCTCCCCCTCTCTCTCCCTCTCCACTACTCCCTCTCCTCCCCGTTGGACCGCCTCCATCGCGAGTGTTACGAACACATCTAGACCCTTATCCTAAATTTTTTTTGAGAAAACACCAAATCATCGCTCCCACCACCCCCCAGGTGGACTGGGCCCTCTCTGCAGGGCGACGTTTCGTCTTTGGGCTGCCACTCCGCCGCTAGTCTCGACGAGCGGGCAGCACCCTCGATAGTGGTGACGTGTCCCACCCATAACAGCCCTCCCTCTCTCTCACGCGTTCTCTCATCCACGTGTTCTCTCATCCACGTGTTCTCTCATCCACGCGTTCTCTCACACGCGTTCTCTCATCCACGTGTTCTCTCATCCACGTGTTCTCTCACTCACGTGTTCTCTCATCCACGTGTTCTCTCATCCACGTGTTCTCTCATCCACGTGTTCTCTCACACGCGTTCTCTCATCCACGTGTTCTCTCATCCACGTGTTCTCTCACTCACGTGTTCTCTCACCCACGCGTTCTCTCACACGCGTTCTCTCATCCACGTGTTCTCTCATCCACGTGTTCTCTCACTCACGTGTTCTCTCATCCACGTGTTCTCTCATCCACGTGTTCTCTCATCCACGTGTTCTCTCACACACGCGTTCTCTCACCCACGTGTTCTCTCATCCACGTGTTCTCTCACTCACGTGTTCTCTCATCCACGTGTTCTCTCATCCACGTGTTCTCTCACACACGTGTTCTCTCATCCACGTGTTCTCTCATCCACGTGTTCTCTCATCCACGTGTTCTCTCATCCACGTGTTCTCTCACACACGTGTTCTCTCACCCACGTGTTCTCTCATCCACGTGTTCTCTCACACACGTGTTCTCTCACCCACGTGTTCTCTCATCCACGTGTTCTCTCATCCACGTGTTCTCTCACACACGTGTTCTCTCACCCACGTGTTCTCTCATCCACGTGTTCTCTCACACACGTGTTCTCTCACCCACGTGTTCTCTCACCCACGTGTTCTCTCATCCACGTGTTCTCTCATCCACGTGTTCTCTCACACACGTGTTCTCTCACCCACGTGTTCTCTCATCCACGTGTTCTCTCATCCACGTGTTCTCTCATCCACGTGTTCTCTCATCCACGTGTTCTCTCATCCACGCGTTCTCTCATCCACGCGTTCTCTCATCCACGCGTTCTCTCATCCACGTGTTCATCTTGCTCTCTCTCGCGCATTTATTATGAGTTGTAAGCACACACACGTGTTTATTATGAGCTGTAAGCACACACACGTGTGAGATGAATGTACAAACACACTCCCGTTCTATATAAACACGTTCATAAGGAGAAAAAAAACAGATACAGACCCCCTGTATAGCCTTTAACGGACTGTTAGCGAGCACCTGTGGCACACGAGGGGGTGGGTGGCCAACACCATCCCAGGCCACCTTTGTCTCCCCAGTGCTGATGTTTACACACTGCACCATGTATTCCTTTAATGCTGAGTCGACCTAAGGGAGGCCCAGAACCGGTTCAGATGTTCGCCACTGTCAATGGCCGTGAACAGGAGTCGAACTTGGGTGGCCGAGTTCGTAGCCACCCCCACCCTCAACAAACGCATGGAGCTGATGAGCACACACACACACACAGAGGGGGGGGGGGGGCGTTCCTCCCTCAACACGAACTCCGTGCTGAGGGCTGTGCGCGACATCAGTGGCTGTTTGTGTTCGGCGCGGATTTAGAAATTCGCTCGTGTCGTTTGAGATCTTTTCGGCTTAGAGAAGTGAGTGCCCTCGATTAGACGACGTCAAGAGTGGCCTTTGCCCTGTCACACGGTGTCTGATCCACGCGTGATTAATAATAATAATGAAATAATCATCCACATTGATAAAGTGGCGCATTTCATCCGTGGATCGTAATGCGCGACGTATGGGAAGCAGGACATCACGAGCCACTGATCTTAGCCGCAGGCGGAGATCGAACTCAGGTCACGCTCTGCCATCTAACATGCACGCACTAAAGCACATACGCACAATATGTGTACTCGTATTATCATGAATTATACAGGACTAGCCATTCCATGTAGATATTGCATGCAGACTGATGATGATCATGATGATAGTTTACATTTGTAAAGTGGCGCATTTAGTCAGTGGAGCCCGATGCGTGGCGTGTATAGAAATCCAGGAAATGCACAGAACCTGCAGGGTAAGGACTAGGGGGCTAAAGGCCACTCTACAGAGGTGAGTTTTCAACAAGATCTCGCCGTTCTGATGGTAGTATGCGCAAAGGGCCCACGATGTGCTGGGTGCCCGTGGCGAGCGGCTGGTTGACCCGGTGGCTCGGATGTGACCCCCCTGACCACACGCCGAGTGACGCAGTTCTTTTTTGCTCCGATTTTTTTTTGCGTCATTGCTGTACATTTTTGCGTCGTGAAACCCGCCACCACCCGACACAGCTGATTAATAAGGTTTGTCACGTAAAAACAACGTGCAAATTAGTTACAACTTAAGCAGACCGGTGTGTTGGAGAGTAAATCCATCACATTTACAATTCGCGTACGACGTTTCTCTGGTGATTAAAATTAGCAGCTTCGTCAGGCGATTTGTCAAAATTGTAAAGAAGTCTTCCTGTGTTGGCGGGTTTAACGCCACATTTATATTTACGCGATCTAACCCCCCAAAAAACCTTTATTATGGATAATATTGGTCGCGAAAGCCTACGTGTAGTTTTGCTATTACTCCACATCCATTAAATGAGCGCTTAGCCTTGGCTTGCATGGCCACAGTCGCACGACTGTTGAATCGTCTCCTAAATGTCCCGCTCGTTGTCGGCCTGGCACGGACCCGCTCGCCGCCACGCGGTCTCCACTGCCCTCTCGTGGTGCCAGAGGCGACAAGCGGCGAACCACATCTCCTGCCTCTGTATAGTTGCTTTTCTCCTCCTGCCCGTCTTCCCGAGAGGATGACAAGATGGATGGGATGTGCAGATACGATCCGCTTAATGTGCAATATTGTGGCATCGCAGAACCGTGAGGGATGGCGATAGCTTTAACACATACATTAAACTCAAACAGCGCGGTTGGCTACGTACGGTGCGAAAGGTCTACACACGTACAGAACGTGACTGATGATGGTGCTTCTGCAGACTTGCCAATACTTCAAGACGCAATGAGTCTGAAATATTAGACGCATTTCTCGTATTTTGTTGTTGTTTGAAAAGCAGCCACGTGCTTCCCGCCTGGGTTCCTGTCTGCCTGGCTCACGCCCCACGTTTGCTGTCCGCTCGTGACGCCACGGCTCCCCGTGCCCACCCACCCGCCACGGCTCCCCGTGCCCACCCACCCGCCACGGCTCCCCGTGCCCACCCACCCGCCACGGCTCCCCGTGCCCACCCACCCGCCACGGCTCCCCGTGCCCACCCACCCCGCCACACCGGCCGTGGATGTTGGAGAGCCCGGAGGGAAGCCGCGCAGAACGAGGGGAGAACTTGACAAGCTGCACACAGGAAGATGTGCACGTCGGGAATGTGCTACGTGGTGTGTGCCCCGCAGCCCTCTGCACCGCTGGGTCATCGATGCCAAACATCATAATCACACGTTTATTGCCCACTGAGTGAAGTCCATTGAGCTAAGACTGGGTCGACAGACATCAAAGCATTCCACAATTATGCTTATAAAAAAACCAAAGTGATTTCATAGCATTTACGGTATGTTGTACAATTACATTCACACTTAAACTTAAGTGATTTTAATAGTCAATTTTAAATGAGGACAGAATCATAATATATATACAGAACTAGAGAACAACACAAAACACGATAGGCAGAGATGGCAGGATGGCAGGATCCAAACACCTTGGGCCTCATCTACACTGAATGCTTTAGATCCAAACTGCGTGCGAAATCTGGGAATTGTTAACAATCAGACGGCTCCCCGGTCTTCGACTCCAGAAGATATGTTATTATTTAACACTTGAGTTGATATCTGTTGATGCAATCGTCTAGATTTCTCCCAGGACATCGTTTTTTTTCCATTGCTGGACCGTGTGATATTTTATTTGTTTTTCTTTTGTAATTTGGCTGACCCAGGTCACTTTTGCAAATAAGACTCATCCCGCCTCGTGTCTTGAGACCTCTCGCCTGGTGAAACGAAACAGAGGCAGGCCTCGCTTAGCGCGCTCAAGATGCCTTGCTAGAGGAGTGAGCACTAACCGGGATCGTGATACCATTGGATACATGGGGATGCGTTCTCGCCAGCGACATTTCTTTCCGATGAGCAAATACAAGGGGCTTCACATTGGGGTGTCGGTAATAGCGCGCATAACAATACAGGTGGCAAACATTATTTTCATGAAAATAAATGATAAACATCAGTAAGTATTATTAATGTATTGTAACCTTGAGGTCACGTGGCCAGGACCCCCTTCCCACCGCTCGTCTAACCCCTCCCCCCCATCACCCCCCCCCCCCCCCTTGGATCCCATGCTACCATGACGTCACTTCCTAGTTACAATATATCTTCGGCCTCTCCGTGCCGTGCAGAAAGACCCATTGCCCGAAACGTCGACTACTAAACAGTTCCCTTCGCGATGCCGCGGTTATAAATATTTGTATTATTATCGCTTTAAAAAAAATAAATGCCGGTGACGCCACTTCCGATTGGGATACTGATGTGACGCCACTTCCGGCCGTGGCGCCGCTTCCGGTGTGCGCCCCGTGTGGGAAGGCCGCGGGCGGGAGACGCGGGGAGTCGCCTCGAACTCCTCTCATCCCTCCTCCTCGCCGCTCTCCTCCTCCTCGCCGCTCCCCTCCTCCTCGCACTTTGCGCTTCCTTCGCCTCGGAACCAGCGGTGCCCGTCGCGGGCAGCCTCACGGTGCGTGCCTGGGGAGCGGTGGCTCAGTGGTGAGCGCGCTACGCTACGAACCCGGCGTACCCGAGTTCGATTCCCGCTCGCGGTGACCGCCAGTGACGAGTAACTCAACCGGTCCTGGGCCTCGCCGAGCTCGACTCGGCCTCAGATGAGTACCTGGTGCGGCTGTGTTAACATCATCGGCACGGGGGAGACAAAGGCGGCCGGACGTGGTGCTGGCCACCTCCCGCCACTCGTGTGCCGTGTTGACCTTCACAAGTGCTCGCTAACAGCGCCGGCCCCAACAGTTTGTGAAGGCCCGACGGGGGGGATGTTTGACTTGGCCTCACCCCGCATCTCCCGCGGCACGCACACGAGGTTGACGCTGTGGTCTAAGGCGACGCCTCCTCCCGTCGCGTTCTCCCCGCCCCCCCTCTCGAGGGGCCGGGGACCAGAGAGATCGGGAGATGAGGGATCAGGGACATAGACCAAGGATCAGAAGACGAGTCCAGGAGATGGGACCAGAGATCAAGGGGCAGGAGATGGGAACCAGGGACACGAGCACAGAGATCATGGGCCACGAGACGTGACCCCACGCTAACGATGCTGACGAGACGCAATTCTCTTTGCTTCTGATAACTGAGATTTGTGAGAAACACTGCGGCCTTGTTTCTGTAAATGATTCGTAAGAGGGGGGGGGGAGGTGTTTGAAGTCTGTGCCTCCCTTGGCCGGGTTATTTTTAAACTCGTAATTCACTCGGACTGCGCCGAATTCATTCTCACCGCGCCGTGTTGTGGCGCTGTTCCGTGCATCTCAGCTGCGCGTCAATCTTGTCACATCGATCGACACGCAGCCTCCCTCTAACGAGACCGGCAGGCTCCTCCTCGTGTTACAACGTAAATACACCGCTGGGACAGTCGGGCTCAATCGCACATTCGTTGTGATTACATTTTCACAAGAAAAATGCACGACTCTGCAGTGCTGGACTTTTCAGTCGACTCATCTTTCTCCATCCCTCGTGTCTACAGCTGCTCTCAAATGGAGTATTTAAAACTTTTTCAGAATCGCAAAAAAGTCCTTTTTAATCGTGCTTAAACATCGCCGCGAGGGAGACGAAGGCGGCCTGGCGTGGTGTTGGCCCCCACCCCTCTCGTGTGCCGCGGTGCCGGCCTTCCGAGGTGCAACTCCTCACGGCTCTTGCCCCAACAGTCTGTGACAGGCGACCCATGTTTGTCTCGGGTGTTCTGCGTGCAGGGCAGTGCCATGGCGGGCTTTGGGGACGGCTCTCTGGGCCCAGCGGGAGCGGGCCGCGGGCCCCCCGGCAACAGGGGGGACCGCGGCATCGGCCACGCCATCGACTTCGTGCTCTCCAACGCGCGGCTCGTACTGGGCGTGGGCGGCGCCGCCATGCTGGGCATCGCCACTCTCGCCGTGAAGCGGGTCCGCACGCACACACGTGCACGTGCACACACGTGGACGTGCACACACGCACACACGTGGACGTGCACACACGCACACACGTGGACGTGCACACACGTGGACCGTGCACACACGTGGACGTGCACACACGTGGACGTGCACACACGCACACACGTGGACGTGCACACACGTGCACACACGTGGACGTGCACACACGCACACACGTGGACGTGCACACACGTGCACACACGTGGACGTGCACACACGTGGACGCGCACACACGTGGACGTGCACGCACAAAACAAAGACAAAAGATCACCGCCCCCCGTATAGCCTGAACAGACTGCTGTGGCAAGTGTGCCGTTAGCGAGTAGCAGCGCCGATGGAAGCCAGCACAGCGGCACACGAGGGGAAGGGTGGCCAGCTCCACTCCCGACTGGCCTTTGTCTCTCTCCCCAGTGTCGATGTTTACACGGCGCACCAGGTACCCATTTGAGGCCGAGTCGACTAGAGAAGGCCCAGGACCGGTTCAGGTAATCGTCACTGATGTTAGCTGTGAGCAGGAATCGAACTGGTGTCGCCGATTTCCCAGCGCAGCGCTAAATTGAGTTTTCAATTTAGATTTTAAAATGCATTGCTCCAGTGGCTTCCTAATATAGGAAGGAAGAGCATTCCAGACGACCACAGAGGCGCATCTGAAAGCACGCGATGCAGTGACCGTCTTTGTTAGATGGCCAGCCAAAAGCCGCTGCGAGGATGTCTGGAGTTTGCGTGACGGTTTACGCTTCTTGATGAGATCAATCGGGATAAAATAAGTGAGAAAGAAAACACGGCACTAACCTCGGCACGACTGGGCATGTGCGCAGGCGTACGACCGCGCCGTCAGCGCGCCTGTCAGCCCCACGCGCAAGCCCGAGGACGTGGGCATCGCTGGGCTGAGCAGCTGGGAGGAGCCGAGCTGGGTGGGGGCGTCACCACGCCTGCTGTCGCACGACATGCGCTCCACCGTGAGCCGCTCGCTGCAGAATCTGCCCCAGGGCCTGGCGGGTGACGCGGCCGTCCTCGACGACGAACAGCTCAAAAGTACGACACTCGGGCCGGGGGGGGGGGGTAGGTGACTGGCGTTCACGACTCGCCTCTCACTGTGATTTGTAATTCGGTTCTGGCCCCCGACTTATTGACATCTTAAATACAGCCAGTCCTCGAGACGTGCCGCATTAAGTGAAAAATCCGTTGGTTTAGCGAGATATGATGTACTCCGCACGCACAGTGCGATAGCGGGACAAATAACTTGAGTGTACGCCGCCACATTACTCTATCAATTCGCGTACTGTGTCCCTGTATCGCTCAGCTGCACAGCTTAAGAAGTAGTTGTCAAACATTCAGAAACCATACACTCAGAAACCGTGTTATAACGGTGAGTGTTCCGTGTTGTGTGAGAAATGTTCCCTTATGGAAGAACCGCGTTCTAGCGAAAGCACTGTGTGAACACCGTGCGTTAAGCGAGGGCTTGCCTTAATCTTCCCTGATTGCCCGTGTCCTCATGATGCACATCCCACGGGTGTCCAGCGTCTTCAGATGCGGTCACGTCGTTTGGGAGCTTCCTACACCCCAAATGGCGCTGCAATCCCCCCCCCTCCCATTGCCGCGCTCGCTCTGTCCGCCATCCTCGTGCTCACCGGCCCCGCGCTTGTGCCGCGTCCCCTCAGGCTCCTCGGCCAACAGCCTGGCCCCGGGCGCCGGGCTTCACGTGGGACGAGCCGTGCCGGCTCCGGACCCGCGCCGCGCCCCGCTGCAGCGGCATCTACTTTCCTTCTACCGGCGCCGCGTGCTGGTGGCGCCGTCCCAGGTGGCGGCGGCCAAGCACGTGGCGCTGGAGATCTGCTCGGAGCTGCGCGAGTTCCTGCGCGCGCGGCACTCGGAGCTGCCGCTGGACGACATGAGCCTGTGCGGGGGGCTGTGCGAGGACCTGGCGGTGGTGGCTCCCGACCGCGTCGCGCTCGCCCTGCCGCTGCTGCTGGAGGAGCGGCTGTGGACGGCGGTGCCGGGAGAGGAGACCATCATGGCGGCGCCGGGGTGCTGGCTGCTGCGGCGCGACAACGCCGAGTACTTCCCGCGCGGCTTGAGCGTCTGGGACCGCTGGCTCGTGGGCGCGTACCTCTCCCCGGTCGCCATCGCGGAGGCGCTGCGCCGCATCGTCGCCGACAGCGTCAACTGGCCGGCCATCGGCGCCGCGCTCGGGTACCGCGTGCGCCCGTGCGCGCCGGCCGACGGGCTGGCGCTGGAGGTGACGTACCGGGAAGGGGACGGGGAGGACGACGGCGAGGGCGACGGGGCACGGGACGGCGCGGGGGAGCGCCGCCTGCGCGTGGACGTGCTCCTGCGCGTCACCTTGGCGAGCTGCACGCTGGTGGCGCGGCCCGGGGACGCCGGCGGCGCCGGGGGGCGGCACGCGGAGACGCTCTGGCGCCAGAGCTTCCGCGCCGTCGAGACGGAGCGGCTGCGCGAGCTGGACGCCCGGGACTCGGGCTCCCGCCTGCTCTGCCTCAAGCTGCTCAAGGCCGTGTGCCGCACGCACCCGGGGCTGGAGCGGCTGCGCTCCGAGCACCTGCGCTCGTTGATCCTGCACGCGTGCGACGCCGGCGCCGTCGACTGGGCCGAGGACGCGCTGGCCGAGCGCTTTCTGGAGTTGCTGCGAGAGCTCGTGGAGCGGCTGGAGCGCGGCTCCCTCCCCGCCGCCTTCTGCCCCGCGCTCAACCTGCTGGCGCCGCTCTCGGAGGACGAGGTGGACGAGCTCGGCTACACGCTCTACAGCGCCATCTCCCAGCCCGAGAAGCTGCTGCAAGGCTGAGGCCGATCGACGCGCCTGGTGACTCGGCCAAGACGCGCGGTTGCGGCCGGAGGGGCCCCCGTACCCCCCTCCCCAACCGGTCACTCGGGCCGTGAGGCTCTCTTTGTTTTATTTTACCAGGTGATGCCCAGTGATCTATGTAGCTCTTTTTCAGAAGTGACCTGGCCACAAATGACAGCTGAACAAAGTGGCTTATCAACATGTGTACATTTATATCAGCCAAGTACTCTTAAATGCATGTTGATTCTAAACGTGGAGGGAAAAGCCGGAGGACCCGGAGTAAAATCCACCCGACCACGGGGAGAGCGACACGCAAACTCCAAATATACAGCAGGCGTCAGGGACGGGATCAAACCCACAACCTGCTGCATACCAGGCGCGAGGGAGTTATCATCTTGCCACCGGGGCACCCCTAGAAAGCTTTTGTACGGAACATGTGGATCGCAGCCCGTGCAGAGGTCACCTCACTCGCTCACGTTGACACGAGTCTGAATGGAATCCTCAATCATGCTTGTGATTGGCAAGGGATCTTGCCTGGGTGCAGCGAGTCGCCCGTCTAACTAGTCTGCACCCTTATTCCTCAATTCGGGCGTCCCGGTGACTTCCAGTTCACGCACAAACTGCATCTTCTGGCGGAGAAATGTACTTTCTGCTGCGAATGCAGAAGTTTGGCAGCAACCTGTAGCTTCTCACCAGGGGTGATCCACGCTCTGTACAGACCCACTCAGTGTTGCTGAACATAAGGAAAGGTCATCTGTGTTGCTGAAATGCTTTAAAAAATGTTTGCTACTCTTGCCAGTGCAATTGTTACAGATTGCTGAGAAATAGTTGGCAGTGCACAACACGCCTAATCATTAAATATTCAAGTGAGCAATCTTCTGAACCAGCTGCAGTGCTATGTGGGCGAGGGAAATGCTATTAAAGCTGGGAAATAATGGAAATGCTCTCTCCAGCCTAATCCGGTGGCTATGGGTTAGGTGCTTATGCATTCATCCTCTGTCATTCTGTCTACAAATTGCACAAAATATTCAGACATTGATAAATACAATCCACAGATTTATTCATTTACAATTTAATGTTATAAATTCAGAATATTACAATCTTCAACGGAACCCAAATGTGACTGTGGAACACAGGACACGGCATTGCGTGTGCAGTGCTCATGTACGGCTTGGTTTGTAATCACCAAACATCCGGACAGCCCAACCACCGTTGATTCTACAGCCCATCCTAGAATTCTCAGCTGGTTGCCTTATCCTCTACAATTTCATCTATTGACCGTTTACACTGAATTCGAAGTCCCCCCAGTCTGGACATTTTAAGAGAGGCAGCTTTTGCTGTTCTCTGAATCTTGAAGACCCAATTTTGTCAAGGTATCCATTGTGGTAAATATTGTCCATACGTGTTCTTTAGCACGTGCTCTCATCCAACGTGGTTGTTTTCGTCGGTCATGTGCTTCATTATAAAAGCGATTTGAAAGCAATATTTCTCAAACACTACGAGTGAACAAGCGATTACATTTTCCTGGGGGCACAGCGAGACATTATGAATGGCTGTGTGGAGCCACAGTTACCGTCGTAGACCTCTTGTACCCCGTTCCCACTGTGGCACTTCTTAGCCGAGCCAGAGCAGGACCCTCACTGTTTCCCATACAGAGCCAGAACTATCTCGCGATACGCTGGCCTCGTGTGATATCTCGTCGTGGCTCGGGGCCAAGCAGGGCCTGGTATGGGGTTAATGACGCGTTGATTGTGCGTGAAATCGGTTAATACAACGGCGAAACAGCATCACCCCGTTTAAATGGACGTGCATCTAAACTCTTTCAGTGCGTGCGACGTTTAACGGCACGACATGTCACGGCTTCACGCCATCTCCGGTCATCCTCGCAGCGGCGACTTTTGGCCGGCCATCGAACAAAGACAAGTCACCGCATCGCAAAGCTGCCAGATGAGCTTTTGCGGCTGTCTGGAACGCTCTTCCGATAATAGGAAGCCACTGGAGCTATGCACTTTTAAGTGATCTAGATTGAAAACTCATTTCTTTAGAACTGCTGTTCGTGTTAAGTTTATTGTCCCTCCCCTCACTTCTGATTAGCATGGTTGGCTACGTACGGTGCGAGCTAAGTTCACCATACAGTACATACTGTGGAAAAGTGACCAAGTGCCTCCCGTGCCCCTCGGATGTACTGTTGAAAAGAGATCTAATTAGTTAAGGAGCTTATGCATATCCGAGGTGCAATTGTAAATACCCCACTCACACAAGTGAAGCTTTCGTGACTGCAGGAATCCATACTCTTTGGTTCTTTCGGTAAAGTCACGTAGGTCGAAAAAATAATTTCATCGCAACGCAAGCAATCGTCATCAGGCGGAAGAAAGAGAATATTATTCAGTTCAATGCTTGCCCTGCCTACGTTCAAATGCCGCTGAAAGCTATAGCAGATGTCTCCCGTATCCGCAAGGGAGACACGGGTAGCCTTGGTGTAGAGCGGCCATTCCCAGTAGGGACTTGCAGGTGTTGTGGAGATTGTAATTGTCCGCTGCGCACCCTGAATTACGTTGCATTACTACAGTGACGTCCTTTACCTCTTGCTAGCGGCTTTGAGGAATCCTCCGTGCCAAGAGGTTTTCAACCACTCGTGGAGCTCTCCGAAAACACGTTCGGCTGTTGACTTTGGCGCATAACGGCTGACCGCGTGCGATGGTCGTCACAGGGTCTTCAGCAGTGACGGGCAACGTAGACGAGCCGGTGGGCCACGTGAGCGTCCCTCCTTCACCTCGGTGGGCTTCAAGCTTGACATTGTGCTCGTGCACTAATCATGACCCCATGCATCACCACAGACACTGAGACCAGGCCACCACCACACATCACCCGAGACACACTGAGACCAGACTACTACTACACATCACCATAGAGATACACTGAGACCAGGTAACCACCACCACACATCACCATAGAGACACTTGAGAACAGGCCACCACCAGGGGGTCCACAGCCCGCGGGCAGGATGTTACCCATCACTGGTCGGTCTAAAGACGACCCCCCCCCCCCCCCATAGCCTAAACAGACTGTTGGGGCAAGTGCTGTTAACGAGTAGCACCTATGAAGGCCGGCACGGCACACGAGGGGGTGGGTGGGCAGCATCGCGATCGGTCGCCTTTGTCTCCCGTGTGGCGATGTTTACACTGCACCAGGTACTCATTTTAGGCTGAGTCGACCTAGGGGAGGCTCAGGACCGGTTCAGATAATCGTCACTGGTGTTGGCCGTGAGCGGAAATCAAATTCGGGTCGCTGGGTTCGTAGTATGGCGTGGTAACCGTCTTCAGAGTCCCATATATGACGCATGAGCAGTCGGCAGCAGGAACCGGAGTGATGAAACCAAGCTGATGGATCCAGTGGCGAGGTTGACACCAACCGCAGCGCCGTGATTCATGTCGTGCGCAACCCAACGTCATGTTGTGACGCATGGTACATTCTACGGAGATGTCACGCGTTGCACTCAAGATGCTTTCGCTGATCGACAAAAACACCAATAACTAAGCATTTTATGAAAGCGTATATATATTTGCGATTGGAACATAAGCTTGGTTGGAAATGTGTAAAATCTTGACTTTTTTGCAGGTACAGATGGCTTCCATATTACAATTAAGCACTGCGATTATCATTCAATAATTTATCAATCAACAGCACTGCTGTGAGATGCATATTAGCGCAGCAGAGGCATAATTTGCCTGTGTTGAGACATTGTGCGGTAGATGCATTGGCCACAATCTGTGAGGATGAATTCACTTGCCACAAGATTACAAAAAAACCACGACGTCTTCCCATGCCATCCACCAAAAGCGGATGAAAACCCGAGCCTGGAATTTTGGCAGAGTTTTGCATGGTTAAAAATTACGTGGATGAAATGAGTGGGTAGTTACAATGCACCTCATGTCAACGTGTGCACAATGTCTTGCATGCAGAAGTGGTTTTGCCTCCCAAGCGGACTGCCACGTTCGCCTCTCGGGCCAGACCAAGATGAGAACCTCCAGGAGCCCTGCCTGTTATTGTGGCAACTTCCCATGAATTCATACCTATATTTTTACAGTGCAGTAATGTATCTATCTGTTCAGCTTGGTCACCTGCATACAGAGCATTATTAAATAACACGTCTCATTGTGAAACATACCAATTGTCCCTCTTAAGTGTTAATAAATCATGATACTGGTGCTCTCACATAATTTAATGTTCTAAACTTTACGTGTTGATGTGTGTGTCTGCCTCGGCCAATGAAGGTGCGTACAGCAAACGCCTGATGACCCACGCTAGCCTCATCCTCCAAACTCTTAACAATATGTTTATCGCAGCGTCTTCAGAAACAGAGTGAAGCGCGATGAGCTTGGTAGTTTCACCGTTTCCATCCGCTTCATATGCCAACGCCCAACAGCAAGTCTATCGGTTTAACACGTCGGCTTTCGCGACCAGTATCCATAATACAGGCTTTCTTGATGGGTTCGATAGCGGTTACCCCCTCGAGCGCCGTGCCGGCTTCCTACCTCTCGAGACAAAGCCATTCTGCGGGAGTGATGGAGGGGCTCCGTGACTCTCCGTCATCGTGCCCTCGTGTGAAACGTCATCCGTCGTGGAACCGGCAAGCAGCAGCGCTTCGAATCTCTGGACGAGCGCAGGAGACGCCGCGATGCTTCTCTGTGCACGGTTCGACAGGCACGCGGATGGGTTGCTCCTGGGGTGGTTCGAGTTCACCAAATGCCAATTGTCGCGAGACCCCGAGACGATGTCCCACTGTCGTGGTGTGCGGCCCCGGCACAAACTCGCTCGGCAAAACCCCAGGATAGCAGCGATCATTCAGCTGCTTACGTGCCACTTTCGTTGCCAGCCGGAGTAAAGCGGATTGGGTGTTTAAAACAAATCAACGCGCGTGTTCTGGTTGTCAATCTGACCGAGATCGAACTCGTGTGACGCAGGACACGTGACTGCGGCAAACCCGGCGACCAGAGTTCGATTCCCGCTCACGACCAATAACTGGCGAATATTTGAACCTCTCGTGGGCCCTCCCCTAGGTCGATTCGGCCTCATGAGTACCTGGTGCGGTGCGTAAACACCGTCACACGGGAAATAAAGGCGACCGGGCGTGGTGCTGGGGCCGCTCGTGTGCCATGCCGGCCTTCGTAGGTGCCGCTCGCTAACAGAACTTAAGCCCCAACAGTCTGTGAAGTCTGTGAAGGCAACGCGGGGGATCTTTGCTGGGGGTCGGAGTTGAGGCGTGGACATGTTGCGCCCTTGGTCTCCAAATCCCTCGCTGGCTTCACTGGCCACGTGTTCATGCATTCTTTGTCACGTGGGAGATTTGCATTGAACCGGCGGAGGCCTTTGGATGACAACCTTCCCCGCCACTGCCAGGCGGTGCTGGCTGTGCACGTGGCCTGTCATCCAGCACTGGAGGCAAGGGGCTTGGTGGATTGCGCAAATGGGCGTCAGGGAAGTGCAATACCCCCGGCTTGCCAGGAGAGGGCAGTACAGACACATGTGGAGCTCAGCTGTTCCGTCTCCTCCCCGAGCAAGTACCACGTGTCCCCATCTGTGCACGCGTGGGTCTTGTCCGGGTTACTCCCACGGGCACCACTCGGTGATTGGCAGGTAACACCTTTATACATAGAGGACCGCAGAGCTCGTGGCTGCTGCCTTCCAGTTCGTCTGGTTCCCTGCACCTCGGCGAGTTCTCCCGAACTTCGTTGAACTTCTTTCGCACCGTACCTAGCCAACCGCGTTAATCCACAAAAGTGAGTGGATACTGCTCGCGTTACAAGTTGGGCTTAGTACCGTAACCTGTGGGCTGCTTACATTGACTCTACTCTGCCTTCCTGCCCAGTCAGCCAATGCAGCTTTGAAATGTAACTGTTTTGTGATACTGCGTTGCCATTGGTGCACACACACACACGTTACATTGGTGCACACACACACGTTACATTGGTGCACACACACACGTTACATTGGTGCACACACACACGTTACATTGGTGCACACACACGCTACAAAACGCCGAGACACTTGGCACGAGCACTGCCGTTGGGAGGAAACTACAGATAATCGGTGGCATTTCATGCAACGGCTCTGCCACTCTAAAGAACGGCCTTTTTGTTCTGAAGACGCGCCATTGCCTGAAACGTTGCCTATTAAGTAACGGGTTAATGATGAATGTGATGAATTTGTGGTATTACAGCAATTCCCCGGTTTACGTGAGGGGAGGGCGGGATGCGTTCCTGAAAGGTGCGCCGACGAATATCGAAACGATGTCAATGGAAGCGATGTTACACGGTCGTAGTGAGTGGTGGTGGTGGGTGCGATGGCTGAGAGGCGACGGATAACAAGAAGGAACGGACAGTGCCGTCAGCGAGGTCCGCGTGGGTTCAGGCGACGATAATCATCGTCGGGTAGCGGTGTTGATAATAAGGTGACGACTATTTTGTGAAACGAGGAAAAATGGGGAGACGTGAATCGGGGTGTTCCTGTACAACTAAGACGGGGGCATATTGAGGACATGTTGTAAAGTGTATGTACGGTGAACGTATTCTTTGCGTCTTTCGGTAATGTCACGTAGATAGCTTAAAAGAAAATAACAAATAACTACGACGTTTCGATCACAACACAAGCGATCGTCATCTTCCCTCTTTCCTCCTGATGACGATCGTTTGTGTTGTGATCGAAACGTCGTAGTTTTTTGTTATTTTTTTGAACCTATCTACGTGACTTTACCGAAAGACCCAAATAATATGAATGCCTGCAGTCACGAAAGCTTTAAGTCAAGATTCATGGTGACCGCCGTTCGCGCCGCACGTTGCCAGCCGCGCCAATCGTGGGAGGCGGCGTCCTCTGGAGCGGCGTGGAGTCGTTCCGTGGCTGGGGGAGGAGGACGCCTCCTCCTCCTCGTGGCTCTGCTGCTGCTGCTGCCGCCGGCTGCTGGGCTCTCGAACGCGCGTCGTCCTCTCACTCGCCCCGACAATGCCGCTTCTTTGTGGCCTCTCGTTGATTGCCTGGCTGCTGGATTCGTCTCTGCGGATTCCTTTGCAGCAAATATATCCGTGGATGATCGTCAGTCACGAGTTTGTGTCGCTCTCCCCACACGAATCCCCGTGCCCGTGCCGCAGCCATTTGTAAGACGAGTCCACGTGGTGCTCTGCGAGGCGCTGCTCAACGACTTGGCGAATGTCAAGAGAAATGCTGCTGCAAGGGTTCGCGTTGTCTTCGCCACGGAGACTCTCCTGAATAAATAAAGGACGATACATAAACGAGTTGTTTACGGACTTGTGTGAATCCACTGCTGGATGAAGGCCTCCTGTTTCCGGATCCTTTATGGGGGGGGGGGGGGTGAAGCCCACAGTTGGCCACGATGTTCACTTGGCCCTCATCTTGGCCAGGAATCACATTTAGAAGGTAATCGATAAGTCAAGATCTAAGGTAAGTGATGTTCATCGTGCAGTGCGTTAACCACGGCGCCACCGCTCCTCTCTCAAGGACGATTCGAGCTGTCCTGCCCGCACTTGCCAATCGCTCGGATTTGTCCACAGAGAATGTTCTGAGTGAGAATTAGAGGCCATGTTGCATAATTGATAATAAATTAAATTGGCCTTTGTCATTCGTGTCACCAAATTATTATTTGAATATTGTCTAACAAACGCTTTTGAGTGCAGTGTGAGAAATTCAACCTTGCTACTCCTTGCCTTCCTATAGAATGTATCTATTGAAGTGGCATACGGAGGAATAGTATCTGCTGTCTTTGTCGTTCTGGTTATTACGAACTCTGCGAACCGAGTTTCGATTCCCACTCACGATCAATAACAGTTGCGAATGTATTTGAACCGGTCCTGGGCCTCCCCTCGATTGATTCGGCTTCAAATTAGTACCTGGTGTGTTGTGGAAACATCGCCACGAGGGAGACAAAGACGGCCGGGCTTGTTTCTGGCCACCCACCTTCTCGTGCGCCGTGCCGGCCTTCATAGGTGCTTCTTACTAACATTCAATTGCCCCATCAGTCTGTTACAGGCTCTGGCGGGGGTCGCGTTGTCTCTGAGTAACAGGAAGGAGCTGCGGAGATGAAGGCACGAGGCTGGTGGTGCGGGCGAGCTTGGCTCTCCCTGCGTGGCTGCGGCGTGCCTCTTGCTCTCGTGAAACTGCTCGTGGAAACTTTAGTGAAGTGCCAACGTTAAAGAGCGGCTTCCTGTTTCCACGGTTTTTTGCTGAAAGTGTCGGCAAATTTTGGAGCCCAAGAGGTGGCCGATGCCTCGTGGAGAAACGAGTGTAATGATGCCCCTTTTGCAATCAGGAACACTGAACAATCGTTTAGGAACTGCGAAAAGAAGGCATGTATTTCTAAATATCTTTTATTATATGTATGTGTTTCATTAGATTATTCACAAGTTATTTTAATAGTTTACATGAGAACCACCTAGAGACGAAACTAGGTGGTTCTAAACACTTTGGGCAGCAGCTACGTTTAATCATTTTTATCCAAATTGCGTGCGAAATCTTAAGAGAGACGTAGACAATCTGTAGGGCGTCTATACGTGGATTCTGAATCACCTTTAGAGGCAATGGGCTGCATTCCCATCGTGTAAGAGAGGAGCGAGACTTGAGAATAGTTGTGGATGAGTGATCTTGAGTTCACCTGGTCTCACGAGCTGTGCCCACCTGCAATACTCGCAGAGCTAAAACAAATATATCACGAGATAAGGCCCACTGAGCTATGGAGTTCTTTTTCAGAAGCGACCTGGCCACATGATAGCTCAAGGAAGTGGCTCACCATATAGAAATGTATAGCAGCCAAATACTCTAACGGATGTTGATTCTAAACGTGGAGGGAAAAACAGGAGGATCCCGAGAAAAATCCATGCAGCCACGGAGAGAGAGACGCAAACTCTAAAATATACAACAGGCGTTGTATATTTAACAGTTTTGTAACTGAACATTTATTTGCTGAGCTGGGAGAATCTCCCATTTTCCGTGGGTAGAGACTGGCTTGAGAAGTGCGGTGCATTTGTGTCGTGCATACATTTGTGCGGTTTACACTTCGTGTGTGTGCATGAATACACACGTAGGGTATACGCTACATGGCTACTGCGCGCGTGTGTGTGTGGTGGGGAGGTAGTGGCGATTATCTGAACCGGTCCTGGGCCTCCACTAGGTCTACTCAGCCTGAAATGAATACTTGGTGCGGTGTGTAAACATCGCCACTCGGGATACAGAAAAGGCGGCCGGGCGTGATGCTGGTTATCCCCCCCCGTGTGCCGTGCCGGCCTCCATAGGCGCCACTCGCGAACAGCACTTGCCGTAAAAGTTTGCTAAGGCTACACGGGGGACCTTTGTCTTTGGGGGGCAGATATAGCGTTGGTGGTAGGTGACGGCCATGTGTCTTTGTTACGGTATGGGGGGCGTATGGGAGGGCGCAAGAATTGAATGTTCGAGGCTCCCCTGGGAATGTCCCATTCGTCAAGTCGTTGTGGAGCGGCGACGTGGCGGGTCTGTAACGACGCTGTAAAGTTGTCACCCCGAGTTGTATTCCTGTAACGACGCTGTGAAGTTGTCACCCCGAGTTGTATTCCTGGCTGCTAATGAGAAACCCCGTCGGCAATTGCATCGTATAACCTGACCTAGCCTCGCGTGGGCCCGTACAGTGATCGCTGGCTTCGTCACGTGTCTTGGAGGAATCCGATGAGCTATGAAGCTCTTTTTCACAGCTGCCCCCCTCGTGCGTTGCGCCGGACTTGGCGCGATGCTCCCGGTCGAAACGAGGGCTGTGTCTGGTGCCTTAGTCTCGTTGGTTGTCCTTCCCCCGCATCTCCGATTAGCACGGTTGGCCACGTACGGTGCGAAAGACGTTTTACATACATACACACGTACGTCTGTGTGAATGTGCATGACATGTGGACACGTAAGGAAATTATTTTCAATGAATGAGGAACTGAAAAAGTCAAGAAGTTCCGTTTTTAAATGACTCGTCTGAGAGTTTAAATTCCTCATTCACCACCCGACTTCCCCTTTGACTTCTCTACAGTGGAGGCCCCTTCCACCAACACTGACTTGAGCGAGTAATTGCAGGGCTGAACCTTTGCCGACGACCTTTCTTAGATGGGGAAATAACATTCCCTTTATAAAGTGCATGGTGGACAAATGATCTGATCTCCCACGTCACGTGGCAATGATCCCCGCAATACAACCTCGCTGGCCCTTTCTCCTCTTACAGTTGCAGAAGGGAGACCACTGGTTTTAAATCGAGATTGAAAACTAATTTCTTTAAAACGGCTTTTTGTGTTTAGTTTGTTGTCCTTCTTCCGCACCTCCGATTGGCACGGTTGACTACGTCCGATGCCAAAGGAGTTCAACATACATACATGCTTACCCCGTGTTCAGTGTTGTGTTTGGACAGCCTAACCGAAAGCAATCTTTGTGTGGGATACAATGTAGATAACTATATTGTTGATTCTTCAATACACCTGAGTATCTGAACAAATGTCTATCGGTGTCTTGGCGTGCAAGGCGACACGCAGACCTCTCTGCAGACAAGCCCCGGGCTTGAATTAATTGGCGCATTTATAACATTTTCCAACATCTGTTTGTTATCGCGTGGGAAACAACGAAGTCTTATCATTGGAATGTTCTTTATTGGGGTGGATGAGTGGGTTATTGGGAAGACCATTTAAGGAAATGACTGTAAACTAAGCTGTTTTTATTTTACCAGGTAAGACACACTGAGTCGTTTAGCTTTTTTGTCGGAAGCTACCTGGTCACAAATTGTAGCCCAACGAAGTGGCTCATCATGACGTGGACATTTATATAAGTCAAATAATCTAAACGCGTGTTTCTAAATGTGGAGAAAAATCCACGTGACCACGGGGAGAACGTGTAAACTTCAAAAATACAGCAGGCTTCACGGTCGGGATCGAACCCACGACCTCCTGTACACCAGGCGAGGGAGTTAACATCTCCCTAACCACCATGGTGTCAGGGTCTGGGATCGAACCCACGACCTCCTGTACACCAGGCGAGGGAGTTGACATCTCCCTAACCACCATGGTGTCAGGGTCTGGGATCGAACCCACGACCCCCTGTACACCAGGCGAGGGAGTTGACATCTCGAAGCGACCACGACGACGATGAAGCAAATGTAAATCAGGGCAACAGTGGTCACGTGACAGGAGAAACATTAAATAATGAACAAACATGAGGCGATATGAAAGCAAATGCCTTTCCTGTGATATAAGTTGGCTTGGACAAATTACTTTGTGAAAAAAAAATCGATCGTCCTTTCAAAGTCGTGAAGAATACACCTCGGTGCTGAGAAACAATGGGACGAGCGGACACGGCCAGTGACACGGGTACAGTACTCGCGACAACAACCCAGGGTGGGCTACGCGGCTTCTTTATTTAACGAAGAGACATTTCCGCGACGCCAAGGCGACCGTAGCCGCGATCCGCCTGGAAACCCCCCGTGACGATTGGGCGTGAGTCGACCCAACACCCTCCCCGAGCGAGTGAGCGCCTTGACAGGCTGACAGCGGTGCAACAACAGCCGTCGCCGTTCACCGCTAAGTGGCGGAGACGTCACCACGGCGCTTGTGCCAGGCCAGGTGCACTTTGAGGCCGTCACGTGAAGTGT